CACTTAAAAAAACATCCCAGAATTGCACAAAAATGGCATTCGCACACACTCTTGACTTTATTCACGTACACTGCTAAAGTCCTAGTTTGTAACCTTTATCGCCTTACCAAAATGTCGCCAAACTACCTGTTACCATATTCCAAAGATTAGCCCTGGGATTTTTTTAAAAGTGAAAATTAAGTCGATGTGTACATGGATACCGAGTATGTGCAATTCTTAAAAACGCGTCAAGCAGTGGGTGATTCTGCACTTTACCCAAAATTCTAGCGCATACTTTTCATCATGGGCAATTCCCAAATTGTTAAATCCATAGGATATCAAAAAAGGAATTAAAAATTAAACTAGTATTTCAATGGCATCGTAAGAAATATAGAACTATATAAACTTATGCAATCTGAAATCAGCGCGTACGCTAGATTTGGCACGCTGTTAAATTGCTAGATTTGGCGCTTTCTCGCATACATTTTCGCTGCAATTTTTTTACAGCCCTCAAAACGGAATAGTACCTAAATTACTTATCAACTCCTGCAACACCAGGCATAAACTAAACAAAGCAGTCCTAAAAGAAATTTTTGACAACTACGAATTAGGCTTCATTAACTGAATAAGGTCAATTAGAGCAAACTCAACAGCTTCAAAGAGATACTCAACAAAAGCTTATTGACTTATTGTTAAAACAGATTGAATCCCAACAACAGGACTTTAACCAGCTACTTCAACAAATATACAAGCTTCTACCATTTCTTCAATAGAAATACCTACTGAACCTGAAAAACCCTCATTTTTGCTGGTACAATAAAAAAAAAGGAGACACCTTCTAAGAAAGCCATCAGAACATATTCTGATCATTTCCTCTAGACTCCAATAGCTAACCAAAACAGATACAGAGAACATCTAGCAGAACAGCTCAAGCCAATCAAAATAGGAGTTCAAATTCAGCAAATCAAACCAATTCACAACTAAGAATTATTAATTCGTTGAAACTCCAAAGAATGCATCATTATGCTCTGTTTCTGAGTCTAGATCCCCAATGTACCAGTTATTACATAACAAACCAAAAATCAGAAAATTCTCTTGACAGCAAACACACAGGATTTTTTAACCTACATCCTACATACAAGATGGAACTTTAAAGGCTTCAGAGAAATCAAATCTAGACTCATGTTCTTCTTTCCTTATATTCAATAATCTTTCATTCATTCAATGTAATTTGCAAAATTCATCCACCACAACGAGTTATATACTACACTGAAAACTGGAAATAAGAACAGTTCCAGTTATTATTCGTCAAATTCCAGTCAGGATCATTTCAAGAACCCTATATTAACTATAAGAATGCATTATCCAATTCTTCATCATTTAAAAATATATATTATTCTTACTATGTCTAATTTCTAAATTATGTGCAAATTAATCAGTGATATAACTTGTACAAAACACCAGAAATTATACAAAATATGATTTTTGAGAAAACTAAGCAAATATATCAATATTCACAGATAATGATCAAATAAAGTTTTCAATGAAAATTATTAAATGCTGCAATATTTTTGGCTTTACTACTAAACAATATTACTATAATTTTTACTAACCTAGATGATACGAATGCATTTTATTTTAAAAATAATAACTACAGCTAAGAACTTATCCAAGATTGAAGTAACACAGAATGCAAATACAGGTGAAATTTTTTTTTAAATTAGATTATTTTCAATTAAATGTAATGCCCATTAGAAAGAAAAGTGCAGAATCGTGCACTATTTGGCACATTTTTAAGAATTGCACATACTCGGTACCCATGTACACATCGACCTATTTTCACTTAAAAAGTCAAAGAAAATTGACAAAAATCCAATTCTTCTTACTCTTGTAAAAAGTGCCAAACAGACAAGTGGACAATTCTGCACTTTACCATAGAAATCCAATACATAAAAGTACTTAAGACAGAATGGTTATCTGTGTATAATCTTGTACAGTGGAGGCTTTTCAAGCACTTGTGAAGACAAGAGTTCATTTTGGAGCAGGGCACTTGAAAAATGAACAATGCACTTGCCAAAATTCAAAGTCCGAATTCCCTGATGACCAGCGCAGATGTGCCTCCAATTACACTCCAAAAACACATGATAAGAAAGAATAATTCCTCACAAACTATAAAGAGTCCTATTCAAATTTTATTCAAGATAAGACTGCTCCATTTTCTTTTAGAGTATTGGCATTTATTCACACTCTAAAGCTTTTCAACAAAAATATAGATAATAATCTGTGAAGATTTCATTACTTGATTAATTACCTTTGATTATGGATAAGAATAATTAATAAAATCTTAAATTTTGATAATCCTAAAAGGTAAAATAACTTCAACAAACTATTTTCTACAATAAAGACTTAATTTATCAGGGCATTTACATATTAACATAACCACCTTAGTAGGAGAGGCAAAATTATCAAAATATGACCTCAGTCTTGTAGCACTCCCTCAATCAAGCAATGCAGCCATTTTCGTATGCATTCTTTTTTGTTGTATTCTAAGTTCCAATGGTTTTTATAAACAAACCATGATATGTTTTGCCTGAAAATTACTTTTAAGGTATGAGCTTGTGGAATTTGCCATCAATGGTAAAATTTTTGCATGAATACAAAATTTTGCTGAAAATTTTCTAAAGAGAACATTAAGGAAATTCATTCCCTAAATAGCTGCTATTGCCTAGATTTGCATAAAGTCAATTCTTTGCAATTATCTGGCATTTTTTTAAGTGAAAAAAGATTGCAGTGTACTTCGGGAGAAGAATAGCTAAAAAAATTACAGAAAGATTTGAAGACATTAAGAGTTTTTATTTCTTTTAATGTATCATGTAATCCTTATTTGATAATTAAAATTTGTGTTTTAAATTGACAAAGTATGTTTCTTTTTCATGTGTTGATGTTGTTTACCGACTTAAGGTCTGTATTGATAGTTTGGGAACCTTAAAAAAAAGGGGGGCATGAAAACCACCAACTTGTGCCCAATTAAAAACTTCTACCTTTTTATGAGTAAAAAATCGCCAAGGTGGTTGCAGTTGCATTATTGAAACATTAAAAGAACAAATGAGAATATATAGATAAACTGAGTAGTATATTAATATCAAAGATCATCTTGATTTCAAAACGCACTGAATTTTAAAGCTGAACTGATTTTAGAAAAAGTGACAAACACTGAGACACTTATTTTCATGTGGATATTCTCATTCATTCATAAAAAAATTCTATTTATTTACTCACTTTTCCATTTTCTTATAATTTTTATAAAACGAATATTAACACAATAATATCAAAATATCAAGAAATGCCGAAATTATGAGTTTATAGTCAAGATGAAGCTGACTTTAAACGCATTTCCTGAAAACTCTGTTTTTGAAACTGGTGATCATAATTATCATACAAATTAATAAAGATAATGGAATTTAACCCTTTGAGTAACAAAGATTTGTAGATAAGCTCATGACAATAAATCTCATGTATAGATAAAAGTTGGCCTCCCACTCAACAATTCTACTCAAATTTTTATATTAGGTCGAGATATGGGAAAAATCTAATTATAACTTAGCCAATGAAAGTTGGAAAAAACTGGTCATTTTTCAGTCACATTTTAATGTGTTTCAAAAATCACCCTCCTTTTTTATACAACTTCATTTGAAATATTCCAATTTGGAAGGCAGCAACTAGCTTCCTAATAATAAAAATGCTCTGTTTTCCCATTTGAGACTTTTACTTATCCTGTTACCCCAGTCATCTTGTATATATACTGCATCAATCTGAATACTAAGACTAGACGGGTTCGAGTCCCGATAGAATTGTTTATGTACATACACCTCTACAAAATTGTTTCTCTTTTTTGCAATTTATTTTTATGCTCTTTACTGTATTTATGCCAAATAGAACTTGTCTCAAGAAACTATCACAAGGAAAATCTACTTCTTCAAAGTTATATCATAAATATGCCATCGCTTATGCTTTATCCCATGGAATCAGATGGCACCATATGAACATCACTCTAAAGATATGCCATTAGTGAAGATTCTACTCAAGTCAACAGATGGAGTTGTACTTCTTTCTCTTACGAGATCCGAGCCCAGTGGTTTAAGACTTTCCGCTTGTTCGGATTTCCCCCCCCCCATCTTTATGGCATTAGGAACTTGGGAAATATAGATTGGAAAAGGCCTCAAGCCTTTTACATGAATGATGGTCTGTGAGACTTAAGACTACTAGAATTCTGCTTCTGAAGTATAAATATGCAGGGAAAAGGCAGAGCAGTATAGTTTTTTTTTTTTAAAGTAAAAAAAAAAAAATTCTATTTTTTGTGACCTTTAGATGAGAACTTGTCTCTGATATATTGATCTTCAATTCATTAATATACTATTCTTAAGTATTAAGCAATGGGAAAAAAAAGTAAGATGCACCTGGTGACAATAAATTTCAGGATGAGATAAAAGTTGGTCTGCCTCTCAGAAGTTAAATATGTCAAAACAAAAATACAGAAAAGAAATATACCACTGCTAAAAATCAAGCGTACCTCTACACTGGTTTTATAGAAAACTACTGATTAAACTGGAAGGAGAGAACTATGGCCCTTTTCTTATAGGTTTAGTGAAGAACTTAATTACCCAATTCTCTTACGATCAATAGTTGTGGATAAAGATATAAATAAAACTCACTAACTTAAGGCTCTTTTTTGTCCATTTTACTGATATATAATACATTTATTTAAATTAAGAAAACGTACCATTACTTAAATATTGTATTCGAATACCATTTTTAACATCTGAGAGAAATAAAAAGTTACTAATTTATAATATAAAAAAATCTGCTCATATATATATATATATAGAATATACATGTACACGCATATATAAAGTTCTAGTGATGTTGCGCAAACTTAGCAGCCGATTAAAAATATTAGTCTTATCTAAATATTTTTGTTTACTATGTGAGTCATTTTTATTTATTTTATAAAGTGTACTTACTTTGCATACTCTGCAAAGATCTTCTTTTTCAATGAATGATAAGCGCAAAAAATGTCAAAATTGAGTCAGTTTGACGTAAAACGCTTTATCGAGTAACACTTACGAGTACTAAGAATTTAAGTGACATATTTGTAGAATCCTAAAACATACAACAGCCATTTCTCGAAATAACAGAATACTGTAAAATCATCCAATAATAACACGTAACGTTCAAACACAACACTTAATACGTTAAGTGCCTCAAAATTTCCTTTAAAAATATGCACTAATTGGTGCTACTTCACAATTTTATTACCATACAGATCAACAGCTTCTTAAGATGCTACATAGGCCTCGCTAGCTTCTTTTCTACTACTTCAGAGAATCTCGGAGAGTTTAGTTGGTCAAAGCATGTATTAACCACCGCGCGAAAAGTGAAAAAAAAATCCTGAAAAGAAATAAATATTTTACAATATTTTGGATTATCTTGATTTTGAATGATATTTTAAATGTTTTCCTACAAAGAAAACAAAAGGACAAACTTAAAAATATCTGTTTTCTTTCTGTTTCTAAAAAATATCTGTTTCACATTTATCAGAATTGAAGTGAAAACAAAATTCGACGTGTTTAGTTTTGGGAAGGAGCTGAAGTGAGGTGTTGTTATTAGTTACGTGTCGGCAATTCTCATTGAATAATGTTGACTAAATTCGAAACCAAATCAGCTCGTGTTAAGGGCTTAAGTTTTCATCCGAAAAGGCCCTGGATACTCACTAGTTTGCACAATGGAATTATACAACTGTGGGATTATCGCATGTGCACACTTTTGGACAAATTCGATGAGCACGATGGACCGGTCAGAGGAATTTGTTTTCATAATCAGCAGCCTCTTTTCGTTTCTGGTGGAGATGACTATAAAATAAAAGTAAATTTTATATCTAATTATATAGCTGTTGAAATCCAGAATTTAACTCTATTTCATATCAGAAAAGTGAAGTCATGTAACTAAATTGCATTTTTTATTAAATGTGTGATAAATACTTTAATTATGTACGATATTATTTTTTTCCATAATTTTGTTAATTTTTAGGATATTTCCAAAGCTCTGGAATATTTAAAATAAGAGTAACAAAGCTATCTTAACAGCATTTTTAGCAGAGAAACCATGTTAGGTTCTATAGATATAGGGGAATTATTTTACTAGCTTTTTGTTTTCACTTTTTCTAAAAATGCTATATGACAGGCGTATTATTTTAGAATAGTTTTTCATAATAAAAGCACTCGTCTTTATTATCATTTATTAGTATTGTAAGCTAATGGGAGTAAGCTTCATGTGATAAAATGCAATGAACTCCGAATTGTGTAGAGTAGACTTTAAGGTACCACTTGTATTATGGCGAAGTTGTTTGATTTATCATTAAGTTGTTGTTTCATTTATGGTAGCCTGAGTAGTTGGATGTTATGGAAACCCTATTGTGACGTAATCTGGTGCATGATTCTGGGAAATTTTGAATCGGGATGTTTTGTGGTGTGTGTTGGTTTGATTCTTTAGACGGTAGAATGACCGAATGTAGTAAGATTAATTTGAAGTTTCTCTACAGTTTGGAGCGAAAGGGTAAAAGAGCTTTAATTGACTGGTGTGTAAATGAAGGTTTACTTAGCAGCTATTATAAATGTCCTGTATGTAGGAAGGATATGTCTCTAGTTGAACATAAAAACCGTTTAGATGGGTTTGTAGGGAGAAAGGTTCAGATGGTCACTATGTGAAGTGTTCGATCAGAAAGAGTACCTTGTTTGAAAAAAGTCATTTGATTGATATTTTGATTTTTACGTGGCTCTGGGTGTACGAAGCGAACTCAAAAATCATAGTAAGTGAATATTTGCATTTTGTAGTGCGTAAGTGTATAACATGTTTTTCCTTTTTTATGTTATTTTATTGTTTGATTTAAAATTTATTTTATTGAGATTATGTATTTTTTGTTTGCCTATATTGTAGAATTTGGTGCTCCTTAGACTTTTTAAGCGAAAATATATCGATGTGTACATGGACAAAGTAAAGGGAGTGCGCAATGCAAGTTTGTGCAATTCTAGGATTTTTTTTAAGTGAAAATAGGTCGACGTGTACATGGATAAAGTTAAAAGAGGTAGCAATGCCATTTTTGTGCAATTCGGGGATTGTTTTTTAGTGAAAATAAGTCGATGTGTACATGAATAAAGTCAAAGGGGTGCGCAATGCCATTTTTGTGCATTTCAGGGATTTTTTTTAAGTGAAAATAAGTCGATATGTACATGGATACCGAATTTGTGCAATTGTTTGTCTTGTTATTTTGGCTTTGTGTAGCAAAAATCGCCGCTTCGCAAGCCAAAATAACTAGTCAAAGAATTGCACAAAATCCGTATCCGTGTACTGCCAAAAATCGTCAAGAGGTACCCTTAACTATACTTTTACCTACGAATTTGAGTCATTAAATATGACACTTGAATATAAGATTCTTATGAGAATCTTTGAAAACTCAGTACACACATTATTGTTATAGAGTATGTTAAGCATAGCAAAATGAATATAGTTTTAAATTTTATATTCTAGCGAGAAGAAATGCAAAGTAACTGTGTTTGCATTTAACAACCAAATTGGGTGAAATTTTTTTTTCTACTGAGGCCAAGTTAAATGCATTAACTTGTGAAAAAAAAGCATTATAAAAGTTATTTAGATATTAAAATGAAAATTAGCATTTGGAATTACCTAATATACATAGGATTTTTTAACCCTTTAACCGTCGAGTTATTTTGATGATTTGGGTACACAAATTGTCAATTTTTTTTATTGGAAAAATCAAATGTTTAGTACAAAATAAAATATACTTAAGTAGTTAAAAATTGATATTTTGAAGTACATGGGTAAAATTTTTTAAGTTTTGTAGCCACTGCGTATTTGCTTGAGGCGACTGCCACTCAACATGGCAGTTGTAAAGTTCGCTTCTAGTGGAGCATTATGTTCTAAAAATGAAAGAAAATTAATTATTTTCTAAAAAATAAATAAATAATAAAATAAATAAAAGTGAATATGTATTAGTCGTTCAGTAATTCAGTCTTATATGGTACAAATGGAAACACTTTTCCAAGCACAAAACAACTCCACAATCACTACACCAGAACCGTGTTTCCTTCCTTACCTTTTTCCCATTTTTATCCTTTTTCGAACAACAGACTTTGTCTTGTAGGCTCACGTTTCACAGGAGTAGGAGGAATATAGGAAATAAAATGTCGTTCAGTAAGACGGGCAGGGTTATCTATTGTAGGTGGTCTGCCAACATTCTTTTGTCCAGAAGCTGCATCATTATATTTATGTAAAAGCTCTTCTACAACTTGGATTCGAAATTCTAAAAATGTAATACGTTTCCCAACTACATTTTTATAGAGTAAATATGAGTTCCAAAGTACCTTGTCTAGTAAATGTAAAAATATCTTTTTATAATATTTTTCTGACGTTTTCGGATTGTTGGATGAAAGGATATTTCCTGATCACAGCGATCTACACCACCCATATTTAGACTGTAGTCAGAAACAATCTTCGGCTTGAGTATATCTTCATTTTTTTTTTTTTGAATTTTTTTTTTTTTTTTTTTTTTTTTTTTTTTTTTTTTTTGAGGTTGACCATGGAAATATCATGAATACTGCACATCAGACACACATCTTTCATCTTCGGTTGAAGAATCTAAATCATCTATATGACGTTTCAAAGAACTGGACGCCATTTTACAACAAAAAGATCCCGTGCACTTTGAACCAAAGAACTTATAACCTCTAACCTTTGAAATCTTCAGTAAAGTGCTGTCATCTATTGAATTGAGCGTACATTAACATTTCCCGACATATTGTCGTGTTTGAAAAAGAAATGAAGCCGAAATAAACGTCTCCCGATATATATTCGGGTATAACAATACGATGCACTCAAAAAAAAGTTACCCCGAGTAATACTCCGGCGTGACATTTTCGAACACCAGTGCTGTGCCCGAGATTAACTCGGGCATGACAGTTGAAAGGTTAAAGCACATTTTGAAGATCTGAACATGCCTCTGTTTATTACCGGTTTCAATTACTTGAAAGTTATTTTTTCATTTCATCTTATCAACTGAAAGCGTATGTAAAATTGAATTGTCACAGCATGGAGTGTATGATAGGAAAGTTGTAATTGATTTCTTTAGTAAAGAGAAGTTTATAGCAGCCCTGATCTTATTTGTGGATAATAGGATTGCAGCTATGATTTCGCCAAGCTCGTGAAGCTTAAATGTAAAAATAAATGATACAATGTATAATAATAACAATAATACTCACTTGTTGCTTCCTAAGAATTTTTTTAATAATCATTATGACAAACCCATATTTCTGAAATTGCTTTCAGCATTTCATCAGAAAAAATTTTTCCTGTGCACTTTCTCCACATAAATTGCAAAATATATGATTTGAGGTGATGCCCCATTGTTTTTTATTATGCCACTTGGATAAACGCCTTATGTTGGGTGTGAACATCCGTTATTACGTCCACGAAATTGTACTTGTTCACACTTAAGTGACTATAACCAGCTTCTTCAAGTTGCTCTGTTTTATAGCCCTTCAAGCAATCTGAATAGATTGTTGATCCATTTTGCATATGTTGAATAATTACAATTCAAACCAATTTCAATTACAATTTCAAACCAAAGCCAATTTCAAACACGGAGGCCCTTCTTTTTTTCAATTTTTTTTAACATTGCACCTCCAAATGGTTTCCTTGTATATATGATTTCATATGTTGGCCATTTTTGCATACTCATTTGTCAGGTAAAGGACCTCTTTCTTGAAAAAATTATATGACATCCATCTTTTTATTTGTAAATTAAAAATTTGTAACTGTATATTTACAGTAAAACAAGGACTTGAGAAAACCCATGCGAATTTGAAAAAATTAACAAAAATGAAACACGATGCTAATATAAGAACATGTGGTAACAGCAAAAATGTAACACAATGTTGATATTGCACAGTGCTACTCGTAGTGATGATGTGACATGCGTTGAGATATCTTGACATGTGTGAGCAGGCAGGTTGTGCAGCTGAGCTGAACTTCGGAAAAAAATTTGCATAAATTTTGTCATCCACTTGTTTCAATTTTAGATGCATTATGAGAGGAGCATTAAAATAGTTAATAGAACTAATTTTAAAACTTTATCATTAAATTTTCCTAAACAGATTTATAAAATAACCAATCTCGGTAAAAATATGTTTGCAAGTACCCCTTGAAAAAAAATTGGTGATTTTTGGCGGTACATAGATATCGAATTTGTGATTTTCAAAAACTGTCGCTACACAAAAACAAAATAACAAGTTGAAGAATTCCACAAACTCAGTATCCATGTACACATTGACTTATTTTCACTTAAAAAAAAAATCGCAGAATTGCACAAACTAGGCATTGCACACACCTTTGACTTTATTCGTGTACACATCGACCTATTTTCACTTAAAAAACATCAGAGAATTACACAAACTTGGCATTGCACACTCCTTTTACTTTGTCCATGTACATATCGATATATTTTCACTTAAAAAGTCAAAAAAGCACCCAATTCTACAGTAGAGGCAAACAAAAAATACATAATCTCAATAAATAACATTTTAAACGAAATAATAAAATAACAAAAAAAAAAAAAAAAAAAAAAAGGAAAAACCTCTTATGCATCTAAGTACTACACAAAGCAAATATCCACTCACCTTATTTAGAAATTTCTTCATCCTCAGTCTGTGGCACACAAAATTCCTTAACAGCATCCCAAAACTTCCTAAAGTTATCTGAACTCGAATCCATATCTCGACGTTGCTACATAAATTCACAAAAATAAGAGTAAAAAATATCCTCCGTAATTCCGGACTGTCCGGAAAACGGCTACTAAGTAAACCTTCATTTACACACTAGTCAATTAATGCTTTTTTCCCCTTTTGTTCCAAATCGTTCAGAAACTTCAAATTAATCTTATTCCATTCTACCATCTAAACAACAAAACAAGCAGTGTACTTCCTAACCAACACACAGCACAAGCCCGTACAAAACATCCCATAATTCAAGATTTACTGCAATTGTGCAACAACCGATTATGACATAATAGGGTTTCCATAACATTTAACTACTCAGCTTACCATAAATAAAACAACAACTTTGCAATAATACAAGGGATACCCTTTAGTCTACTCTAACCCCGATCTCCAGTATGTATAATTTTTGCTTACTTCAAATAAATATATATGGTACTACTTTGGTAGATGGTTGCATGGATTTTTAGCATTTTACATTGGTACAATTGTTGGCGCGGTTTTTATAGTCGTCAGCCATCTTGAAAAATGCTGTTTTTACGTATTTTACGCATAGTAAAGTATTCGAAACTTTAAGAAAATAAATATCATTAAAAATAATGGATTAATTTTTTGTTGAAAACGTTGGTTGTTTTTTAACCCTCTGAGTGTTACGGGTTTAGCCCTGAAATTTCAAAGTTCCTCAAAATGTCACGAATAAGTGATATTTTATTGATTTTAATTAAAAAATGACTCTTTCATTTTGTACCTTGATTTCTTTTCTGCCAATATACATCCAAACTGAAATCCGATACATTAAAAGCTAGCAGAAATTTTCATGTATAATAAATGTGGAAGGCAACTTTCTGTACAGAATTTTCCGGTCGTAATGCTGAGAGGGTTAAGATGGCTGGCAAATGTAAATAAATACATTTACTAAATGTATGAGTATGAAATGCTAAAATAAGGGTAAATTATTACTTTCATGTAATAGATAAAAACACCGCTATAAAAACATTGCGTCAAAATTTAATTGGATTAAAATATTACTTGAATATTGAATTAAAAACATCATGTCAATGTTTAAAAGAATTAAAATGTTAGTTAAATTCAAATACTTTAAAATAAGTTTTATAGGATATAATTATTTAACATTAAAACATACGTGGCGATAAATATCGATGGAATTTTAGAAAACAATGTATTAATTTTTTAATAAAAATTGAAGTATACAATTATAAAATAAAAATATGTACTTACATTTTTTTTAAAGTATTTTACCTGTCGTATTTTGATAAGTACTGAAAAAAAAATCTTCATCTCGTATCCACATCTCTCGCACTTCATTGAAGAAGCAATTAGCAAGGTTTCCTCCAATAATTTAAAATAAATTTCCTCTGATTCTTTGTTACAATTTATAAATAAATCTTTGATTAGGAAAGACAGGTTGGCCAAAATAAGGTCTCAAAGGGCAATTTTTTTATTCCGATACCAATAATTCTTGGTAATTACAAATAACAACATTAATCTTCAAAACGGACATATCCATTTGCTTTGAAATCTGAAGAATTCGAAGAGATGAATAATAAAATTTTAAAATGGCGCAGTAATGCACAAATATTCAGTAACCAATCGGAGCTGATTACATCACGTATAGAATTAAAATTATTTAAATAATCATTCATAATAAATCATTTAAAAAAATTGTATTTTAATATTTAACAGCCATAAATAATGTTTAAAACATAAGATTAAATTTATAAATATTAAAACTAATTACTTTTAAAATAAGGTGACGTCATTGATTACATCATCCACAAAATAAAATTTCATGAAATATCATAAACAATAAAATTTTTATTTCAAATAAAAATGCAAAATTAAATTGATCCAATTCTGCAAAAATGTTGTGAGAAAGACTTGTTAATCTTTCGTATATAGTCTTCTTCTGTTAAATATTATTTTCGTTTTTCCATTTAGGTGTAAAAATATTTTGCTAAACAATATAAAAAATCCTCCGTAATGCTAGAAAAAGTGTAAGTGCAGTAAATGAAATAAAAAGATAGAACATCCATTCCGCTGTGTTGGCCCTCCCAAAAAATTCTGAGGTATCAAGAACATGTGCATTTGTTTATATTGTTAAGTGTGTAAAGATTCCTAATGAATTTGAATGCACATGGAACCAATGATAGCTTGATGAAGTTTATTTTTCCAAAGGAAACACTGTAAAAATCTCGTATTTTTCACAAAAGTACAGCTCCATGTCAAACAACTAAGGAAACCTCAAATGTGAAGCCTCAAGAAACACAAGAAAGCCTCAAATGTGACAAGAAACTTAAAACACAAGAAAGCCTCAAATGTGACAAGAAATTTAAAACACAAGAAAGCCTCAAATCTGAAGCTAGTGCAGTTATCTCTCCATATTCTGAGCTGGTCCTCTCTATGGGCTTATATAATTTCCCGTGGATGCCGAGAAATTTTCAGTGCCTTCGTTTTCTTGAAATTGCTGGAGCGCATATAAGGTCAGATACAGTTTCTTAGAGGCATTAGAACAGTTACAGTTATGTAGGGATCAGACCAAAATATTGCCAAGTTTGACAATTTTTAGCTGTTTCTTGCCAAATTTGGTAACAGAAATTTGTTGCCAAAACCATCGTAGGCTTGATGCGATCTCACCAAATTGGCTAGATAACCATTTACCTCAATGTTAAATGGACTTGTCCTTGTCACTTTATTTTTCTGCCAAAGATTCACATTCTTGAGGCCTTTCATGCTACATTTTACAAGCCATACTACAAATTTACATATAATTTCACTAAAATTATTTACATATATATATAATTCATAACATTGACTCCTTCCAAAGGACTGCATGTCCCAGGCAGTACAATCCCCTGGACAGGAAGCCATACTTACAACTAAGGAAAATGAATGCAATACTAAAGTAATAACTTCAATAAATAACATATAACAAATCAAATACTAAATCAATAAATAAATGCATGGATTTGAAGATTTTTATACATATAGGACCATGAGTTTTGTGTATTACATTATGCACACTGTAGGGACAACATACTATGGCTATAGTAAGAAGGTAGCTTGTTGTAATAAGTGACATTTAGGTTTAGAATTTAATAACATACAAATCTAAACTACCACCTTGTTCAGCCTGTTTAATACTGCATAAGGATCATTCCACTGTGACTGTAGTTTAGAAGGAATCAGTTTATTTAAAGAATTTTTTACACTGGTAAAGAAGATTTAATTTTAATTAAATAAAAATAGGTTATGCATTTTTTAACTCGAAAAACAACTTCTTTATTGAGTAAAATGTAAAAAATTAAAGTAAAATGATGTATTTATTTGAAAGCCTATATAGTTAAAAATTACTTTCTTAGTTTAATATTAATAGAAATACACTGACTACCAATAAGTATTTGGACACCTGTGATAGAAAAGAAAAACTAACTTTATTCAAAATCAATAATTGGTAGAGCCTCCACGAGAGGTAATTACAGCGTGGACCCTCCGGGGCATACTTTCCACAAGTTTTTGTATGACAGCTAGTGGTATTTTCTTCCACTCGGCTTGGAGAAGACATAGAAGTTCCTTCACCGATTTTGCACGGGTAGTGCACCCCTGAATTCGGCGATGCAACTCGTCCCAGAGGCTCTCGATAGGGTTCAGGTCTGGACTCTGGGCAGGCCAGTCCATTCGATGAACTCCATTGGCACCATACCAAGCCTTGGTTAACGTCGAAACATGACAACTGGCATTGTCGTCCTGAAAGTAACAGTAAAACTGAAAGTCCCGTAAAACTGCCACAACGTAGGAAGCACATTGTCATCCAAAATAGTGCAGTAGGCATCGGAGTTGAGCTTACCATGAATGGGGACCAAGGGTCCCAGCCCATACCAGGAGAAACACACCTAGACCATAATTCCACCTCTGCCGAACTTGACTGTTGGCACAATACATTCTGGCGGGAGACATTCTCCAGGTAGACGCCAGATCCAGACCCTGCCATCCGAACGGTAAAGGGTGAACCTTGATTCATCACTCCAAAGAACCCGTTTCCACTGATCTACGGTCCAATTTCGATGGGCTTTGCACCACATTAACCGAGCAGCGCGGTTGGACTTTGTGATCAAAGGCTTATGGGCAGCAGCATGACCATGAAAACCAAGCAGATGTGCTTCTTTAGGGATGGTATTCAATGAAATAATACTCCCGGATGCCTGTTGAAACTCCTCGCGGATGAGGTCCATCGGTTGGTTGCAGTTCTTCCTAATTTCTCTGGACAGCACTCGTCGGTCTCTATCTCCCAGTTTCGCTGGTCTGCCGACTCGGGGCACATTCCAACAATCACCGCTCACCTTCCACTTCTTAATCACATAGGCCACTGTCGATTTTGGGTACTTCAGATCGCTAGATATGTCCCTTAAGGATCGGCCACATTTGTGATACCCGATAAATTATACCTTTCTCGAATCAGAGAGCTCCGAACTGCGAGGCATCTTGCGTGCGACTTTCCACAAGCCGATGCTGTTTCCTACACGATATATACCGGTGGATTCCGTGACGTACCTTAGGACCACAGATATCGTCATTTGCACAGGTGTCCAAATACTTATTGGTAGTCAATGTAGAACTTGCTATATGTTTAGGAAAATTAAAAAAGAAAAGTAATAAGTAGGAAATTTTGTTGTTTAATTTGGTTAAGAAAAGTATTTCATATTTTGTTTCAGAAACATAAAAGCTGTTAAAATATGTGATAAACAAAGAGTGCATTGTAGTGTGCATGTTTTGGCATATACAAAAGATTGCATAATTATCCGGTTTTTTGAATTTCTGGTGTAGACTAATTTGGATATATGAAAGTGTACAGTTTTAAAAAATGCTATATGAATGTTATTATTTTTTGATATGCAGGTGTGGAATTACAAGCAGAGACGATGTATCTTTACCCTGATGGGACATTTGGATTATATTCGTACCACAAGTTTCCACCATGAATATCCTTGGATTCTCAGTGCTTCAGATGATCAGACAATCAGAGTATGGAACTGGCAGTCACGAACTTGCATTTGTGTGCTAACAGGACATAATCATTATGTCATGTGTGCACATTTTCATCCAACAGAAGATCTGGTGGTTTCTGCTTCCCTTGATCAGACTGTTCGTGTATGGGATATATCTGGATTGAGAAAGAAAAATGTAGCACCAGGTCCTGGTGGCTTAGAAGAGCATTTAAAAAATCCCTCACATACTGATTTATTTGGTACATCTGATGCTGTAGTGAAGCATGTATTAGAAGGTAAATCATATAGTATTTATATGGGAAAATATTAATTCTAAGCATGTATTTTGATTAGAAATTCCGGTACTTTTCTGTTTTGCCAGCGCAGGTGGTAAAGTTGCCAATAATGGTACAACTGATACCAAACAGAATATCCTCGATGGTAACCTTTAATGGCTCATTTTCAAAACAAGTTGCAGCCATTTCTTATCAGATTGATTGTTTCTTTCAATATTAGCATGAAATTACGTAGAATTTTTACCAGATAGTTCAATTTTATGCCCTAAGGCCATTCGCGGTATCACATTGCTCACCCGAAGGCGAAAATATAGAAAAGGAAAAGTCAAAGATTAAATTCATCAATTCTAACTGAGCACTGCGGTTTTACAGAATTTCTGAGCAAAGTATTCATACAAATTGAAATAATTCTTTCATTCAAACTTGTATTCCAAATTAATATTTAAGTTGAAATTAATGTATATAATTACCGAGAACATTAGATTTTCGTAGTGTAGTTTACATGAGATGAGATCACTTGGTCACGTGATATGAACCAGTGAATCAGGATGTTGAACCATGGAAGCATAGTAAATTCTTAAATTAATGTCTTTTTACAAATTTATTGGCTTTTTACAAAATTTTAAAGGATATTAAAATGTTTATGCCTTCAAAATAAAAATTCTTAGAACTGACATTTGTTAATGGTTTTTATTTGTATACTGTATGTTGTCGCCAATAAAGTCTGCTTGGCGAGATTTGCGCTGGCAAAATAGAAAAGTACCAAAATTACATGAACATGAATCCGAAATTTACATTAATTTTACAAGAATAATTAATTGAGTTTCTGTTATTTATATGTACGAGATGTATCATCTTTTTTTTTTTTTTTTCCTTTTAAATGTCTTGTACATTACCTGTCAGTGAAAAGATAAGTTTGCTATATGGCACATTAAATATGGGCACCATTTAATGCAGATATATAAGGCATATATACAAAAGGATAGCATAGTTTCAGAATTTTTCTCACTTAACATGGGGGAACAAACCACAGTTAGCAGAGGCAAGTGTTTAAATTTCTTATGCATTACTGGTGTTTTACTTTATTGTGGGACCAATTCCTGCCCAGCAGCAGTAGACTTTCTGTATACTTTTTTTTTTATCAATATACACCCCCCCCCAAAAAAAATTTTTTTTATTGTGATTGTAATTGTGATACCATCCAGAAGACAGTATCTCTTGTTTCAAAATTATGTGAAGTGGCAATTTTTCATCCTGAGCAAGCTCTGCCATTTCTAATGTGCATTGTAATTTCTTTGTAGTTCTTTTTATCAAAAATGATGCTCCTTTTTTCATTCATTGTATATGTCAGAGTTGTAAAATATTATCAGAATATGAGTAGCCTTTCCAGCTTGATTGAAGTTTTCTTTAGATCACAAACTGAAGTCCAGTATCTCTTGTGTAGCCATGTTAAAATTGCTCTGCTTAGGTTGTTTTTATCGTAACATGCATTCATACAAATGATCTTGACTGAAATTTTGAAATAGTCACTGAAAACATATATGCAAAAAATGAATGCCGACATGAGAAACTTCCATGATCTAGTTATTCTTACATATCTAGTTATTCTTATAAGTTTTTTTTTTTTTCCTCTCTAGAAAGGAAAATGAATATTGTTCAAGTAGATCAAAAATTTTAAAACTGCTGCTAAAAAAAGGCTATGGAAGAAAACATGAGGAGAGAAGTGTATAAGTAATTAAATTATAAAAATTTGGCATACTTTAATAATAATTGAGTATTGCAAATAAAAGTTAGAAAAATTGAGTTTCATCTTTAAAAGCTGCTGTATGTTTCTGAAGGTAAGACAAGAAAAAAGATTTTGCTGCAAAAATTCAGCTAAAGTGAAAAACCATAAAAAATATAAGTGGAATAACCATTAAAGTATAAATCAAATTTAAAATTGCCGTCCAAATCTATAATATATATCATTGAAAGTGTAAATAATTGTCTAACTTAGACAACAAACATTAAAATAATATTGTTATATTATGTACTTTCTTTCTAAAATGTTTGTTTTTATGTGCAAAATTGCAAAAAATTCTATTAACTGATTGCTGTTATAATTTATATTACTGAAATTTCATACAATTTTTTTAAGATGATTTTTAGGTACTATTCCGTTTCGGGGACCGTAAAAAATTGCAGCGAAAATATACGCGCAAAAGCGCCAAAATCTAGCGTACGCGCTGATTTCAGATTGCGTAAGTTTATATAGTTCTATATTTCTTAAGACGCCATTGAAATACTAGTTTAAGTTTTAAATCTTTTTTTGATATCCTAAGGATTTAACAATTTGGGAATTGCCCATGATGAAAAGTTTGCAATAGAATTTTTGGGTAAAGTGCAGAATCACCCACTGCTTGACGCATTTTTAAGAATTGCACATACTCAGTATCCATGTACACATCGACCTATTTTCACTTGAAAAAAAAATCTCAGAATTGCACAAAAATGACACTGAGCACATCCTTGACTTTATCTATGTACACACCGACCTATTTTCACTTAAAAAGTAAAAGAAAATTGACCAAAATCCAATTGTTTTTACCCTTGTAAAAAGCGGCAAAACAAATAAGTGGACGATTCTGCACTTTACCGATAATTTTTTTCAAAGAAAAGGCATCATTCATTATAGAAAATTATGTTTGAACAAGCAACGAGATGAAATTATGCTTTAGCGATAACTCGGTAGCGAAATAGCGATGGAGGCATCCATTCAGTTATGTTTAGCAATTTTTATATAAATTATAATCTGAAATAGTTATATACTCTTATGCTTCCATTCAGTCATGTTTAGCCTTTTTTTATATAAATTATAATAATAAAAAAGTATTATATGAAATTAACCTTTCATCTAAATTAAAACATCAATCTTAAATAGTTATTTACTATTATACTTCCTTTCTTGCATTAGGGTTGCCGCATTTATTTTTTGGCAGCACTGCCATCAACAATAGTTTGGCGATTTTTTACGGCCCTCAAAACCGAATAGTACCGATTTTTAAAATATAGCATTGGCATCTTGTAAACTCACATAATTTTTTCTTGGCTATATTCATTAAGTATAATATCAGTGTAATTAAAGACGTATACAAAGTTATATATATTTATTATAAATCTATAGATTGATGAAGATACAGTCAAAAGTCGTTAATCCGGACTCGTCGGGACTTCGATTCCGGATTATCGATTTTTCCGGATTATAGATCATCAGTTTAAATCTGGTAAGATGGCATGCAGAAATTACAAAATTAAAAATATGAAACCGTAATTTATGAAATAAAGAACAATTATGATCTAAAGGGTATCAAAATTTACAAAAAGAAAAAGCTTAATATTTATTTGTTTACTTTATTAAACATTTCCTTCAATGTAAGTTGCTTCGTTTCATGTGATAATACTTTCTCTTTAATTCTATTAAACAGACATAATTTCTTGTTTAGTTACAAAGTTCCACTGTTCAAGTCCTATAATTGCTGTGTTGAGAATACCGACCAATTTGTCAATCGAAATGTTTTCGTTTTCAATAACCTCTGGGACACTTTCTTCACTATCGGAAGCGAATTATAATGATGAGGAACTTGATTTAAATCATATCAAAGACGGAGTATATCGAGATGAAATACTACACTTAGTACGGAATTATAACCAAATAAAATAAAAACCTCTGCTCTGAAGATAAGGATAGTGCTGAGAGATCAACTTCCAATCCGCAGCGTGAAATTGATAAACAGATTTCGGATTTCAAAATACTTTCGCTTTGTAGATACAAATTACATATTAGTAAATATATATCGGAAATTCTATTTGACATAATCTTTCTAATCTATCATAATCTAATAATGACGTTTCTGCCCCCCCCCTCTGCCGCAGAGCAGCGTGAAATTGATAAACAGATTTCGGATTTCAAAACATACTTTCGCTTTGTAGTAAATATATATCGGAAATTCTATTTGACATAATCGAAAGTTCAAACTTACTTTTATGAAATTGCTCTAACAGTCTGCAAAAAATAATAAGCCGGATCCAATTCGAAGATTAAGGAACAACGCAATCTGCAACATTAACTGAATTAGATAACTTTAGCTTAGCGTATAACTCCGTTACACATTAAACGCGCATGCGCACAAACATATTCGCAGCTGTAAGGGTCTTATGCGTTAGGCGTTTACGAGTTTGCTCTCGTCGTTACGTTTGCTCTCGTAAACGTGAACGCGACGCATGCGCAGAAAGTTTGTAGCTTTGAGGTCCGGATTATAGATCATTCCGGATTATGGGTTTCCGAATTAACGACTTTTGACTGTATAAATAATGCATATTTATTCAGTGTAGTAAATTTATATGTGCATCAAGACATAAAATGTATTCCTGACCATTTTAGTGGGTTGTTCGAAAAATAATTTCTTTTTTTCCCAACAGAAGGCTTAATTGTATTTTTACACAGCCAACATCACAGTTAAGTCACGTAATTATTATATATTTTGGCAGCTGATATAGCAAGGCTTGTTTGTGAAAAAGTTCTATGCAGTAGTTTTTGATTGGTGCCCTTTCAGAAATAGAAGGTGAAAAGCAGCATTTTTGGCATATTTTATTTTTACCATCGAAAAGGTAAAAACGCTGCCCAAGCAAAAAAAAAAAAAAAAAAATTCAATATGTATGGAGAAGATATACTGACAGTACACCAGTACCAAAACTGGTTTGCAAAATTTTGATCTTGAAGATGCATCACGTTCTGGAAGACCAGTTGAAGCTAATGAAGAGCTTAAGAACATGAGAAACCCATATATTGAGCTTCATGATTAAACCTAGGTATTTCAAAGGATCTTGAACTATCAAATTCGATAAATTTAATCCCTCGGTGATCTCGCGAGTTGTTATTTGCCAGTTTGCATTAGTAAATGGCTTTATTGTGTCTTCATCATCTTTAACTGGCCTTCCAGAATGTGTTGCATCTAGGTCAACACTGGCAGATTGAAATTTTTAAACCAGTTTTGGCACTGGCTTTTCTGTCAATACATCTTCTCCATACACTTGGAGTTGTACATACATTTGTGTTTTGCCATATTTTTCTCCCTTGTACATCATTTTTACCTTTTCAATGGTAAAAAATTTAAATGGGCTGAAAATGCTGCTTTTCGCTTTCATATTTGAAAAGGCATCAATTAAAAACTACTGTGTAGAATCAATCAAACTTTTTCACAAACAAGCCTTGCTATATCTGCTGCCAAAATATGTAATGATTATGTGTTCTAAGTGCGAAGTTGGCTGTGAAAAAATATAATTAAGCTCTTTGTTGGGGAAAAAAACAAAATTACTTTCTGAACAACCCAATAATTTTCTTATAAATCATTTAACTGCCAACAGTTTCATGCCAGCTGTCATTTCATTAGGAAAACCATTAATGTCTCGGAGGAAAATAGGATTTCACTAAATTAATTTTTGAGCTATTCATTTGACTAATTGTTTATCTTAATTATGTAAGGGAAGGATTATCGAACAACAGGCACATTCTGAAAATCATAAATTGTATGTATTAACTGTTTTTCACTTACATACAATTTTTATGCTGATTTTTTTATGTTTATTTTGTGCTAAATGAAAGAAGTACATACTCTGTTAGATTAAAAAAGAATTAATGCATTTAAATCTTACATTTTTTGCAAAACGAAATATGGCAGGTAACCAGTGGCCAAGTGATAAACTACCTGAATGTTAGTAGTTTGATCCAAGTTCATATACTACAGAGTAGACTGGCTACATAGGCATTTTTGTGCTTTTTGTATGTGTAATGTGGATACGAACCTGTTTCTCTTAGAAAGTTCTCTTCCACCTCTTAGGCAAAGAGTCTGTTTGTGCTTTGCCATAGTTAAAAACCAAAATAAGCCAAATGTAGGCCAAATCTTTAAGTGCATGAAGGAGGACTGAAGAACTGTGATCTTGACCTGTTTTTGTTTGTGTTCAACAAGACACCTGCAAAAATAATAATCAGAAAAATTTTTGACAGGCATGTTTTTGAAATACTTCAAAAGTAAAATTTTCTGAAGATGTACATGCAGTGAAAAAAAGTAAAAAGTCAAGGTAGCTACATTCATTGCTGATAGATTTTTGTGGGTAATAATTTCATAGAAATCAAATGGTACACAATTTTTTTATTTATAATGGAACTTGTGAAAATAATTATTGGGTGTAATTCTTATAATTTTTGACAGACAGATGACAAACACATAAGATATGTAAAAGTTTGTCTATTTTGCAGCAAAAGTATAATAGAACTTAACGAAGTTATGCTTAAGGTTAAGAGTATTTTCCAAACAAAAGGCTAAAAAATTGCAATAGAATATTGAAAGATATAGCAAATCGTTCAGAGGCCATCAGCTTAAGAGGAGAGATACCTTTATAGTTGTTGAGGAGGTTGTTTACAGACCGAGGAAGAAACCAACTCATTGCTTCAAATGTGTAAGATATAGAGATCTCAAGAGATATAGTTATCTCCTGAGATGCACAAAGACAATTGACTCATCAGTGTACATTAGACAAGTCTGAAAAAAATCAAATGCATTTCTGTTCTAGAAACATACCAGCTCGTATTGTGAATGTGCAGAATGTGAAAAGCAAATAAGAATCCTTAGGAAAAGTGCAGGGATGAGTATAGGAAATCTACTTGGAGCAGAAAATCCAAACAGATGTGGACTTCCTGTATCTTCCAAAATCTGAAAATCTACAAAATATAGGAAATTTCAAACTGTTTAAAGCAAGTAGGGAAAAATATAGTGACTTTTTAAAACACAGGCCAAATTGATCAAAAAGTTTAAAGCAATGAGGAAACTTCTCAGCCTTGCCTGTGAGTTTAAAGAGCAAAAATCTGCCCCATTAGTAAATTAAAACTCTGTAGATATCATGGAACAAGTGCCAGAAGTTACCCGAACAGCTTTTTTTGCTATTTATGACATTTCATAGCATACATGCTCTGACACGGTACTGAGTTAACACCTTTTTGTACGGACCTGGTGATTATGTATTTTATTCCTGCTGGCTGATAGTGCTGTAAATCACCAGATTTTGTGTAAAAAAAAAAAAAAAAAAAAAAAAAAAAAAAAAAAAAAAAAAAAAATTGGATTCCTTTTTTCACATTGATGGGATCAAAGGAAATATTTTTATTTTTATTTAACTTCACATCTTCGGCAGAGTACTTCAGACTATTAATTCTTTGATTAAAAACAATGCCTCAGCGCTAAATTTAATATTCATAAAAGCTCTATAAGCTAAATGCGAATTCAACCCCCAGTTCATGGTCAGGGTCATATCGAGGACAATGTAAGTGAAACTGATTCAGCATCACTAATAGTCATATCCTTTAAGTTGAATAGAAGCTTTCCTCTAAGCTCTCGCAGAAGAACAAGATCATATTCACCATTTAAGATCATTCATGTACTCAAGTTTTATTGTTTTAGGAGGGTTTGTTGTTATTAATAAACTAAACATCTTTTCATTTTATGTGTACTTTTTATATTTATTCTTCAGTTTTAAGCAAGCTAATTTAAACTAAATACAAATTGCATTTGTATATAATTCTTTTAATCTCAATTTGAACTAATTAACTGTAAATTTCAAGCTAATCCAGTAATTGTCATACATGATATTCAAATGTTTTCATTCAGTGTATTGTGACAATGAAGTTTTAGAATTATTCATAGGAAAATCAGAAGAAAAATGGCAAATTAGAATCTTTAATAATTTTTGTCTTAAAATTTTATGTCTTTTAGTCACTTTTTTAAAATAAGTTCTATATTATTTAAATTTAATATTATTTTTGTTTCATCTCCCATAATAATTTTATTAAAAAACTCTTTTACTTCAGAATATTTTGATTTATTGCATTGTACCTTTTTTAGGTCATGATCGAGGAGTTAATTGGGCAGCATTCCACAGCACAATGCCACTCATTGTATCTGGTGCTGATGATCGATTGGTTAAACTATGGAGAATGAATGATTCTAAAGCATGGGAAGTTGATACTTGCCGTGGCCATTATAATAATGTTTCCTGTGTTCTTTTTCATCCTAGGTAAATACTTTTCTTAAAATAAGCAGAGTTGAACTTTTCCCTTTTGTCGCATAGTATGTTTATGTCGAAACATATATTTTGATATTTGTAGCATGTTGTAAAAATTTCTGAAATATATTTTATCAATATTGAAATGTGATATGTTAGAATGCAGAGACAGGTCCCAAAATCTTCACATCTTTATATCATTCACTTTATTCATTAGATGTGAATTGTATCATCAGGTATTGTTTGTTTTCTTCAATGCAAGTTTCATATCTATTCATGATGCCATTCAATAAAATTTGAGGCATATCATCTGGATAATGTATGCTTTTTTTGCTATCGCAGTAACCATTATTTGTACTAAAAGTAGAATTGCTGCAGGAATAAGTTGCAGACATAGTATTAGTTAGATTTTGTTTATTATTTTGATGAGATCATGCATCATAAATATCTCCAGCTAATGGAAGTAAACTATTCACCAGAAGGATCACTTGTTATAATGTCCTCTTTCCAAAACTGTAAAGTGTTTTTTCTTGGGGGGCGGATTAATTTTATCAAGCAGTCATCAGTTTTGTGTGTATTCAATTCATTATGAATCCGAGTGTATGTAAGTTTTTTTTTTTTTTTTTTTTTTTTTTTGTGGCAGGATAGCAGTTATCCTCTTCCCCCCCCAAAAAGTTACTTGCATACGGGTTTGAAATGAATTGAATGTACTCAAAACTGATGATAACTTTGGTAAAATTTATTCCCCTCAACCCCCCCTAAATTCTCGACCCCCCCCAAAATTACAGTTTTGGAACATTTCATACAAAATTACTCATACAGCTTTACTTAGTATGCTACAACATAACCAGTAATTACACTTCAAACTACTGAGAATGCTGAGCACAAGACACTGCAAAGCGAAAGCTCACTCGGTAATCTCTCAATACTCTGAACTAAACTGAAAACTGATACTCTCTCTGGTCTTATATTGTTCTCCTCTGTCCGTCAAGAAATTTCCAGTACCTTCAATTTCTTGTAATTGCTGGAAGGCATAGATAGTTACACATGGATCAGACTAAAATGTCATCAGGCTTGGCGACATTTGGAGGTTTCTCACTTAATTTGATGACAAAATTAGTCACCAAAATCATTGCGAGTTTTGTGCCTAGTAAATGACCTTATCCCTAACCCTATTTTTCCAATGATGCTTTGCATTCTGAAGCCTTTCATGTTACATTACACAGAATATACTGCAATTTACATATAATTTCACTCAAATTATGCTTACAAAATTCATAACAATATAAAAGCCATTTTATATATAAGATGGCAGTTAGATGTGGGTTTAACTAATGTATTTTTAATCATGCTTAGTGCTAGTTATATTTGTATAGAAAATTACAAGCCAGAATACTTTCTTTCATAAGATAAACATTGTGATAGTATTGATGTCACTTCTAGTAATCTGTAAGCAGCTAAAAAAATTCCTATTTACAAAGATTTTTGGGTAGTGGTGGCATAGTTAATAAGCGTTTGAGATTTACTTCGTAATTTTTAATAACGATATTTTGATTTTTTATGTATTTTTGCCTTCTCGCGAAGTGAGAACTGAATTAATTAAATGAGAAATACTCAATCGTCTGTGGAAAACTGTTTCTTTTATGTTTTGTTTGCTTAATTTCTTTTATACATAATTCTAGCTTTATTATAGTATTTGAATAGAACATGTGGCAACGATTAGATAATTCTTTAAATGATATACATTTTGTGCATTTTGAGTTATAATATGAATGAAATATAATACTGTTAAGTACATTGAACACTTGTAGTTTAATCTGAATTCAAATCACAACGAACAGGCTCATTATGTGGGGGCTTTCATGGCTTTTCTTCCATGTGTAACCTAAATTGCTAGTGATTTTTTTTTTTTAAATCCACCACAAAAGCATCTCTTTTGAAGCAGTGCTCATATACTGGGCTGTATTCAAATTAACAAACAAGAAAACTCTCTGATGTGTACACCACATGACTTCCTTGTACGGAATATTAAATTATACGCATTTTTTCTTGCATTTTATTTAAACTTATTAGATTGAATTAAACCTACTTCGCCGACAGCGCATAAATCACAATAGAATAAATGCATTCTTTAAAATTCACTTTGTTTACCATAGTGACACTCTGGCGCTAGGTTTACTTAACAGTATTATATTTCATTCATATTATAACTCAAAATGCACAAATGTATATCATTAAAGAATTATCTAATCGTTGCCACACATGTTCTATTCAAATACTATAATAAAGCTAGAATTATGTATAAAAGAAATTAAGCAAACAAACATAAAAGAAAAACAGTTTTCCACAGACGATTGAGTATTTCTCATTTAATTAATTCAGTTCTCACTTCGCGAGAAGGCAAAAAAAAATACATAAAAAATCAAAATATCTTTATTAAAAATTACGAAGTAAATCTCAAACGCTTATTTCCTCGAAATAATTCCAGAAAGAATTAAGCATGATTTAATTGGCAATAGTAAATGAATGCATTATCTTTGTTGTTGCGAAGCTAAGTTTCTCTAGATTGGCAACAAATCCACTAGTCTCCTGTTTCAAATGTAAACATCAATGGCCGCCATTAAAAACAGGCTTAGCGGCAATTAAACAACTTTAAAATTGCTGATAATTCTAAAAATATTGCACACCGATTTACTAATGGCATAAAATCCTTAACCGGGAGATAAAAACAACATAATTCAATCATTTTTAAAGCAAAACATGTACAATTTACAAACATATAAGAATAAAGAAACTGAGATCACTGAGCCGGGTAATAGAGTATATATATAAATATATTTATATACGTTTGGTGCGGCCGATTGCAACCAAAATACGAGGTGCACATCTACATGTTACAGCAGTCCTATATACAAAATTTCAACGTTCTGAGGATACTTGTTTTTGAGTTATGCGAGATACGTACGTACGTACGTTCGTACAGACGCCACGAAAAATTCTCTTCAGAATTAATTTTAAAGCAGTTTTATAATTTTTTTGAAGGAAAAGAGTATTTTACTCTGTCCTTATGTACAGATGTCTTGCAAAAACATCGTTAAATTGCATTCGATAGCGGTCAAAATGGATATTTTCGTTGAAATATGCTGCCTGAAACTTTTCGCGATTACAATACTTCCTTTTTACTTCGTACAAGGAAGTAAAAAACAGTACTCGTATTAAAAATGAATAAAATAATTTATCATTCTAGTAAATTCTCTCTATATTTCTGTTAATTTGCGAATTGTGTTTTTTATGGTACTGTATGTAGATATAGTTTGTATTTGATTCAAAACTGGGTGCTTCTTTATCATAAGTAGTCCCTCAAGAATGAATTGCTAATTAACCGAAGTATCTGGCCAAAATCTCACCACATGTTCTTACAGCTCGCTACATGTTACATCTCTGTTGAAGCCGCTGTAATAAGGAAGGACCAAAAATTGTATATCTACTTGATTGACATTTTATATATGATCTCCTGAAGTAGTGCTTAACTACATATTCTTTGTTGTGTATAAAGAACAATGCAGCTACATTCAGGTGACAGTAAAATACTTTTATTTTTTAGACAAATGAGAAGTTTGTGACCTTTCCAAAGCCTTTTATGCAATATAAAACATTATGACCTCCAAGAATTGATAATTTGTATTTTTGATAAATATTATTGTTGTTTGTGTCTTTTTGCAACTGTGTGCTCATTGAGTTTTATTTTCTTTTATTTTGGTGAATATTCTTGTTGTGTCTTTTTACAACTGGGTGCTCATTGAGTTTTATTTTCTTCTATTTTATAATTTTGTTTCTTCTAGGCAAGAACTGATTTTAAGTAATTCAGAAGATAAAAGTATTCGTGTTTGGGACATGGTCAAACGGACTAGTCTTTATACTTTCCGTCGAGAAAATGATCGATTCTGGATTATGACTGCACATCCAAGCTTAAATCTGTTCGCAGCTGGGCATGATAGTGGTATGATTATATTCAAACTGGAAAGAGAACGTCCTTCATTTGCTGTTCATAATAATTTACTATATTATGTGAAAGATCGTTATCTCAGACGTTTAGATTTGAATCATTCCAAAGATGTTTGTTTGTTACAGTTGCGTGGTGGAAATCGTAGTCCAGTATTTAGGTAAGTTTTATATTAGTTTCTATATTTAAATGTTGAAAAATGTTTCATGAATACAGTTTAATCAATATCTTATGTTGGTGTTGTGGTTATGATAGCATGTGATGATTGATTTTTCAGTTTATTTTCTTATTATTTAAATTTTATTAATTGAAATATATTTTTATTTCTTAAAAATCATGTACTTATTTTTTTATATTGCTTTTTATTCCTGGAAAGATTATAAATGTTAATTTCTGTACCTTTTTTTAGAATATGTTTAAAAGTACTATAATTAAGTGCAAAATTTTTTAGCTGTTTGATAGCAGTGGGTAGAGCAAAATTTAAAACAGTATTAAATTGTATTCATAATAAAAATTGTGATTTTTTTCTTGCAGGTTTTGTGATTGATATAAAATATTACCTAACAGCCATGATTAATTGGAAAATGTTTCGGAGTCAAACTGTTGGCCGTACTTGTTTTAGATGATGTACGTTCCGTTGTTTAAATATAGTGGACTGTAAATTGACTTGATATTACTTCAGTATAGAACCCAAAAAACCTCAGACTCATAACGTTGACCAAACTTCTTTATTGACTTTCAAAGAGTAAGTTAGTTGAGGAACTGCGAAGAACACACAAACTCCGACTTCAGTAGCGGCTTACCAACACAAACTCAGAAGAACCTCTGCCTAGTTGAAACTCCAGTAATTCACCGCAACCTCGAAGCTCTAACCGCAAGCTTTAAAAACCTAACAAATTTGCGTCTGCGCCGCTCCTCGGTACAAAGAAAGAAATACAATTTGCCATTATTACATCGAACATACCCCCAGCCTTGAAGTCCCAAGGGGGTTCAAACAATAAATTTAAACTGTTGAACTGCATAAACCTGAAAAATAAAAATTAAAGTCTCTAAATCAGGAATTAAATGGCAAAGCGCATAGCTTTGCTATATAGGTCGTTTTATTTCACCATTGGACGTGCGCAAAACTCACCACTCGAACTTTCTCATCCAAGACCAGGATACACTTTAATAATTCTACCTAATTTCCAACGTAGCGGAGGGAGGTAGATTTTCGTTCTTAATAAGAACCATATCACCAATCTTCAGGTCTTGTTGTACCTTGCACCACTTGGGTCTCTGCTGCAATCTAGATAAATACTCACTGCTCCAACGATTCCAGAAATGTTGAAATAACCTTTGCACGTTCCTCCAACGGTCACTGCAGCTCATGGTTTCTTGAATTTGGTTAGATTCTGGAATAGCGCTTAAAGCCGCACCGGTTAAAAAGTATCCTGGTGTTATCGCCTCCAAGTCGCTACAATCACTTGAAGCTGGTACCAAAGGCCTAGAATTAAGACATGATTCAATTTGGGTTATTAATGTCAAAAATTCCTCGTATGTTAAAATAAGTGTTCCTAAACATCTTTTCAAGTGATGTTTCATAGACTTGATACCCGCTTCCCAAAGCCCTCCAAAATGAGGGGCAGAGGGAGGATTAAATAACCATTTAATATTTTCTGAAGAAATATAACCCTGTAGCTGTTCATCACGTTGAACAATAGAAAAGGCTTTCCTTAATTCTTTATTAGCTCCTATAAAATACGTTGCACAATCACTGTGAATTTCACACGGTTTGCCTCTACGAGCTATAAACCGCTTAAGTGTTGCGAGGAATGATATTGTTGAAAGATCTCCAACTAATTCTAATTGTATTGCTCTTGTAGTTAAACAAATAAATAGACATACGTAACACTTAAAGATTTTGACTCCTCTACCCAGCCGATATTTAACGTTAAATGGTCCTGCTAAATCAATCCCTACACGAGAAAAAGCTCTACTTTGAGTAACTCTTGAAGCGGGTAAATCTGCCATTAGCTGAGTTGCAGTTTGCGCTTTAACTCTACGGCAGATAACACATTGGTTTATACACTTTCTTATAATATCTCTAGCATTCACAATCCAAAATCTATGTCGTATGACAGAAGTGAGTAGCTGCGTACCTGCGTGAAGATATGTGTGTGTCATGATAATGCTTAATAATTAAACGCGTAATAATATGTGATTCTTAGGTAAAATCATAGGATGTTTCTGATTATTTGAAACTGTAGAGTTTCTGAGCCTTCCGCCTACACGCATTACTCCCGCGGAATCCAAGAAAGGACTTAAAGACAGTAATTTACTTGATGTCTTCAAGGGTTTACCAGATTCTAAACAGAATAATTCTTCTGGAAATTCGGCTCTTTGCACAATCCTAACAATCATAGAAGTAACTTCACAGAATTCTTCAGTAGATAAATAACCCTTTATACGCTCTGTAGGTAACTTACTACAATTATTTCTGAATCTTATACACCACGCTAACACTCGACATAACTTTAACCATGACGAAAATCTTGAAAACACACTAGGCTCTTCAAATTTGGAAATATTTGAACTGAAACTCTTTTTCAATTCCTTCAACATAACCTCACCCTCTAATTCTACACTTGAATTTTGCTGTACATGAATTACGGATTCGTTTAACCACTGCGGTCCCTTCATCCATAACTCACATTGTAGGAATTCTGATGGAATAAAACCTCTGGTCCCACAGTCTGCAGGATTTTCTTTCCCAGCAACATAATTCCATTGAATACCTGGAACAGTTTCCTGGATTTTTGCAACTCGATTTGCCACAAAAGGTAGCCAACGGCGAGGTTCGGACAAAACCCATGCCAATGTAACCCGCGAGTCAGTCCATGCGTAAATATTGTTAATAGGCAGTTCTATGCATGATAATACTGCATGTAAGAGGTTGGTTAAAAGTAACGCAGCACACAACTCTAGTCTCGGAAGAGACTGGGTTTTTAAGGGCGCTACTCTGGTTTTCGATGTGTCAGAAGGCTGACTTTGACTGACGAATCAAGGTTGATTGTTCGGAGATAGATGACTGCACAATAAGCCTTTTCTGAAGCGTCGCAGAAAGCATGGATTTCTATAACTACTGCCTTCGGACTCAAGACATACCTCGGAAATTGTAAGCTTGAGGCAGTAAAGTAAGGGCAATTCTAGATAGAAACGCTTCCATTTTCTACTTATTCTCTTATCATCGAACGATTTCATCCCAACCCAGCTGTAAAGTTCCATAACTCTTGTAATAATATTTTCGCGTATATTATTGTTGGCGCTAACCCCATCCCATTGGATCTAAAGATTTTGGCTACTTCTGATAAAATAGTCCTCTTAGTAAACTCTTTATCACTTATGCATACCGAAAAAAATGAAACGTATCACTAGAGTTGTTCCAATTAATTCCCAATACTTTTACTTTCTTGTCACTGTTTATTTCAAGAGAAATACTGGATTCTCGTAAGCACTCGGGAATATTCTCTAAAATAGCTGAATGTTTGAAATCCACTTCCTTAAGCGAAATCCACCCCTTTTCATCATTTCATTCAACTGCTGAACTAGAACATTCGCTTCCTCTTCACTTTGTGCCCCTGAAAGCAAATCATCAACATAAAAATCACGAAGGGCAATTTTTGATGCTAAAGGAAATCTCACTTGTTCATCTAATGCAAGTTGTTTCATTACTCTAGTAGACAAATATGGCGCACAGGCAGTCCCATATGTAACTGTCACTAATCTAAATGTACTCAAGGGCTCACTAGGACTATCCCTCCAAAGCATTCGTTGCCAATTTGTATCTTCTGGGTGGACACGAATTTGTCTGAACATCTTCTCTATATCTGCACATACTGCAATTTTGTGAGTTCTAAACCCTAGAAGAATTGGAAACAGCTCTTGCTGAACTCTTGGCCCAACCATCAAAATATCATTCAATGAAAGACCCGATGTCGTTTTAGCTGAAGCATCGAAAACAACTCTCAGTTTAGTCGTAGTACTTGATTCCTTTAATACGGCATGATGAGGCATGTAATACGTAGAGTCAATAAGAATCTCCTCAGGCACTCCCTCCATATGTCTCAGCTCAAGGTATTCCCTCATGAAATCCTTATACTGTTCATATATCTGAGGCCTTTTTAGAAGTGAATTTTCTAAAGATTGGAATCTACGCATAGCTAATTGTCTGGAATCTCCAAGCTGAGAAGGCGGAGAGTGAAATGGTAATTTCACAGTATATACCCCACTTTCCTCTCTCGTATATGTAGATTTGAAATAATCTTCACATGCTCTCTCCGATTTAGTAAGCATGTCAAACGTAGGTACAGCATCCAATTTCTAAAAATCAGACAGCATTTAATCAGATTCCTCTTGTATATTATTAACATAGATAGTAGGATTAATTTCTGTTGAATTATTCACACTACCTGAAATAATCCATCCTAGTTCAGAACGAGAAGCTACCGGTTTACCTTCTTCGCATTTAATTATTTCTCCCTTTAAAAGAGGTAAGGCAATATCTACGCCTAAAAATATATCAACAGGCCCACTTTTGTAAAATGTTGGATCTGCTAACATTAAATCATTATATTCCTCAACGTACTTCTTATCCAATGTAAAATGCGGCAAAGTTCCAATAATTCTATTGATGATAAATACTGGTGTTTTAAATGACACTTTCGCCGGAAAAATGCGGAACGAAGTTTATTTCCGTAATCCCATTAGTTTTCGTATCCAAAGACCCTAAACATGAAATAAAAAACTTTGGCATTTCTTCTTGCTAACCCTAGCCTTTGTACACAATCTTCTGAAATCAGGCTTGCTTGACTGCCAGGGTCAAGGAGGGCTCTACACAATTGGTATTCACCCGATGATGAATCTAACACTTTAATAACAGCCGTACATAATAAAACTTCACTCTGAAAATTAAAGTCTGAAACACAAGATTTAATTACTGGACTAGAACTTGCGATATTCTTCCCCTGACCCAGCCGATTGAGCGCGAGGTTCTGGCCCAGGGAAAAATGGCTTAGCCGTCACTGATAATTCATTCGAACTGTTCGTAACTCCTTTACGTGCCTTTGGTTCATTTTGAACTCTTTCGAAATGCAGTAGTGTGTGTGATGATTTTTAAAGCACTTTTTACATTTATGTGTACTTCTACACTCAAAAGCTTTATGATTTGATACCAAGCAATTAAAACAAACGTTATTTCTCTTGACAAAATTAACGCGTTCCTGAACATTCAGATTTAAAAACTTATTACATTTAAAAACTGAATGACCGGCTTTACAATACATACACTGCTCGCAAATCTCTGAAGCCAATGAAGTTAATTTGTCTTTTGTAACTTGTTTTTTAACACCTTGCGTTTTACCTGCTTGCAAGGTTCTGGCATGAGATTTCAAGAACTCTAGCAGATTATTAAGTGTTGGTATTTCCTCACTCTTTAATGTTCTTTCCCACCATCCTCTCGTCGAAGAATCCAATTTAAACTGTACTATTAACATTAAAATAGTATCCGCGAATTGCTCCACTTTGAATCCTAGATTTTCAAACGAACATACACATTCTCTTACAGTGTCTACTAACGCTAATATCTGACTAGGAATTTCAGATTGTAAATTTGATAAATACAAGATTTTCTTTAATAACGATGAAAGTAATTCTCTCTTATGTGAAAATCTTTGACACAATAAATGACACGCTATTTCGAAATTCCTGTCACAAATAGTTAAAGCTTGAACAATCCGCAAAGCATCTCCTTTTAAAGAACCCTTTAAATATTGTAGCTTTTGTGCACCTGATAAACGGTCATTATCCACTATCGCCGTTTTAAATAAATAAAAAAAATGATAACCATTCTTCAGTACTGCCACTAAATACAGGAAGAGTTAGCTTAGGTAAGCGTATACTCGCTATTTCACAAGATTTAGTTTCCACACTAATGTCTTTAACATTCTTAACTCTGGTTAGCATTAAAATTAACTCATCAACAGTATCTTGTATGACCTGTTGTTCTTCTATAAATACATCAATATCTTTTTCTTCACACACTACAAATATGTTACTAAAAATATCCGAAAGTTCGGTCATTAAGTCATTTAATCTAGATTTAAAAAGTTCTAACTGATCAACATCAGCAGAATCGTAAGTCACTGTAATTTTCTCTTTCAGTTTACTTAGCTTTAGCTACACGCTTTTTAGTCTTAAGCGTTGTAAATTCCATTATCTAATAAGAAAGATAAAAAAACACACTGACTCACCAAATTTACTGCGACTCCGTAGCTGACGGACCATAAAACATGTACGTTCCATTGTTTAAATATAGTGGACTGTAAATTGACTTGATATTACTTCAGTATAGAACCCAAAAAACCTCAGACTCATAACGTTGACCGAAACTTCTTTATTGACTTTCAAAGAGTAAGTTAGTTGAGGAACGGCGAAGAACACACAAACTCCGACTTCAGTAGCGGCTTACCAACACAAACTCAGAAGAACCTCTGCCTAGTTGAAACTCCAGTAATTCACTGCAACCTCGAAGCTCTAACCGCGAGCTTTAAAAACCTAACAAATTTGCGTCTGCGCCGCTCCTCGGTACAAAGAAAGAAATATAATTTGCATAACATCGAACAGATGAATATGTGAAAAATATTGGCAAGAAAACTAAGAGTAAATAAAACTTATTTTGCAAGTTACGTATTTGCGAAGCATATAGTAGAAGTCACTATATTTTCAAAATGCACAAACTCTGGCAGCCATATGCATAAGGGCTACCACTTCTTTAATTTTAAGAAGTAACACCTTCATATGTGTTTGTTTTTGCTCTAATCCAAGTTTCAATGTCTTTTATTGACAAATCATGATATTTTTTGTCTTTATTACAAGTCAGTTTTTAACTATGAGCTTGTGGGATTTGCCAGCACTGGAAAAAACTGCAGTAAAATTTTTGCAGGAATACAGTATTGTTCAAAATCAGTAAGGGGAGTAATTGGTAGGAATTTATTCTTAAACAATTGCTGCAAAATTATCACAAGAGAAATGAAAACTCTGTTATAAGTAGGTTTAGTGATTGCCTTTTGGAATAAATACTTAATTAAAATGTAAAGAAAATACAAGTAATAAGTGATTTTTTTTTCTTTTAATAAATTAACAATCTTATTCTTTTGTAATAAATAAGCAAACTATGCCATGGTGTTGTTTTAATACGTAAGTGCCTTAATTTTTAACTAAATGAAAATTCTCATGCCTGTAACATATATGTGTAAATTTTATTACTTGTATCATTGACAAGCTATATATATGAATGAAATTTCAATAAAAGAATTTAATATGCTAAAAAGTATTTCTATCCTGTAATTAATAATTTAAATAGTACTAGAGCTTCTTAATTGAGCACTTCCCCAGGATGTTTTTGCAAATAGAAATTTTAGAAATTTCTATGACCATACGAATATGCTTATGGCTGTTATGAGGTTTTATTGTTTGCATGCAGATCTAGAAGCCTATAAAGATTTCAGAAATTTATGACATTTGTACAGCAGAGTAGAACGGAGTACAGTTTACATGAAAATATATCACAGAAAGAGTAATTTTCTTTTAAGCAGATGTAAATATTTTGTTTAATCAGTAGTGTCAGTTTAATTAGTATTTAATATCAGTAGGAAGCACTGTTCCATGTCAAAAGCTAGTATTAAAATTATTTGCTGGCAACAAATCCATTGCATATTTTAGTAATTATTCAAGGTTCTTAGTAACAGAAACTATTCTGTATAATTTTCAAAACCGATCTTTGTGTGATTATTACTGCCCATCTCTGTTACTGAAAATTTAGACTAAATATTTACCCTCTTTTTCTCTTGATTCTTTTTCTGTTAACCCCCAAAACTGGTATTTTAAATTTAGAGAGTTTGCAGGAAGTAAATAACAGCATTGCTTTTCTTTTTCCTGTTTTACAATTAAAATAATTTTTTCAAATGTTAAAGTGGAAAAGAAATGGGGAGGATATTTGAAAGTAATGCTTACAATCAAAAAGGAGTTTTCTTTCATTTTAATAAGTTTTTTTAAAACTCAAAATTTCACCATTTTAATCAATATATAGTCAATATTTATACGTAAAATTATTTTATTACCTTAATTTATATAAATTATATAGCTTTCTTTGAATATTTCTTTCAATATTACAGTTTACATGCTAGTTGAGCATAATATGTGTAATATGTGTGAGCATAATATAAAGAGAGAGAGAGCAAGAAGTTTATTTTGCTACAATACTGGAATTCCCTAAGAATTAATGCCAATAAATACTATATTTAAAATTTTCTCATTATATGTAAGTAATGTAAGTGATACTGAAATGTTTTAATTGATTTTAAGGTAATCTCATTAATTTTCCTAATCTTTGATTTAAAATTAAGATACAAAAAAGGGAGAATGGAAATTGTTAGTATGCATGCAAGTTATTTCATTGTTCATAAAGTTACTGTTTGTAATTTTCTTTTAGAAAATGAGTATAATTGAATATGATTATTAATTAATATGTATTTTCGGTTTTAGTTTATCTTATAATCATGTGGAGAATGCTGTACTGATTTGTACTCGAACCAGCAATGTTGATAACAGCACATACGACTTATACATGATACCCAAAGAAGTTGATGCACAACCAAATGAGGCTGCTGAATGTAGACGTTCATCTGGTCTAACTGCTGTTTGGATTGCTAGAAACAGATTTGCTGTTTTAGATAGAACTCATACTGTAAGATATTCTTAACTGACCATCTTAAGTATTTAGAAATTTTGTTGCATTAGTACATGTTTTGAAAACTACTGTTTATTATACAGAATGCTGGGCTATTAAATGTTTTCCCATAACTGAAAATTTTTTAAAAAAACGTTTAAAAATTTAATATTAATAGTAGTTGTTGATGTATTTATTGGTATGAATTCTGTCTTTTAACGTGCAATAATTTTGTTTTGATTAAGTCTTAAATTTTATAGGCTTTGAAGTGTGAAAATTAAGTGTTTGATCTTTTAGAAATTTATTTATGTTTATACATTTATTTAGGCTTAAAGGTCAACTAAGTTTAAATAGACTAAAAAAAGTCAAGTGCATAAGTATACAACATTTCATGATCATAGATCAATTATGAAGATATTAAGCTTGTTATATTTTTAGCTTATTTTGACATTTTACAAATACTTAATCCCCTAATGCAATTTGATTACAGCATTATTACAGGATTATGCTGTTATTTTCAGTATTAGTATTATTTAAAGAAATTAAGAGTATTTTCTTGAATTTTTGTTAGTGTGCATTTGTTTGCATTTGTATAATCATTATTAATATATTTTATAACAGCAGGAGAAAAAAAATCATGTACATTTTGTTATAGTAATGAAGGTCTTGGTACAGCGAATAATCACAAACGTGTTGTAGTGAAAAAATAATTAAAGTTTTATAATTCTGCATTGTGATTAACAGTTTAATGTGTATTTTTGTAATTATTCTGATGGCTGTTTAAAACAAGCTATAATGTATATGCTAGTATCTCACTGGAAGTTAATGCATATAAAATCAGAGTTGCCAACTCTCCCGATTTAGGCGGGAGACTCCCGATTTTTGACCGATCTCCCGCCAACCCGATTTACAATATATTTCTCCCGACTTTTTCTTATTCTTAAAATTTCTCATGATTTTTATGGAACTTGGCTTAATACTTTGTTATATGAACAAACACACAACAACAAAAAGTGGGGCGGGGATTTTGGATGTCTGAAAGCAATTGAATTTTCTCTAGATTATATCTAAAACAAAACCTTACAAATCAGATAACTTATGCTTTGTGAGTGAGAGCATTATACATATCCCAGAAACGTCATTCTCCAGTTCTCCAATGGGCATCGAACTCCACTGCGTGTCAGCTGGCATATATTAGCCAATGAGGACAAGGCAAGCTGTTATTTGGATGTTCTTTAGTTATTTCGTTCAATTTGTGCTGAGTTGTGTGAGTGCACGTGCCTTCGGGAATTAGTTTTAGAAATTATCATCTTTTGTTATGTCTGCGAGAATGAAATACTCGTGTACGTTTCAAAAATCGTACACAATTGACTTTCCTTCCATTATTTCCTCAAGGAAATGTAATAAATTTGCGATGTGCACCGCCTGTCGTTGCGATTTTTCGAATTCGCAATATGGAAGGGCAGATGTTCTCAAACATGTGCGAACACAAAAACACAAGGATAACATGAGTTGTTTTTTAAAAAAACGAAAAATTAAATTTTTCTTCGGAAACAAAGGACCAAAAAGTTACTAATGCAGAATGTCTGTTCTCTGCCTTTTTACTGGAGCACAACCTGCCACTGAATGCATCGGATCACGCTGCAGCTTTATTTAGAAAAATGTTTCCCATTAGTGAAATTGCTAAGAAATACTCAAGTGCAAGAACCAAAACAGGTGCAATTGTTAAAGAAATTAGTTTGAAAAATAAATCTTCAGTTATTGATTGCACAAAACAGCTCCGTTCTGCCTCTCTACGGATAGAAGCAATAATACCGATTCAAAACTGTATCCAATTGTTGTTTCTTTTTTTAATCCAGATTCTTAAGAAATTGAGTGCAGTTTACTTTCTGTCCCCATTTTAGAAGGACATTTGACAGGCTTCAATATACCACAGCTAATTATTAAACTTTAAAAGAAAATGCAGGCCCTCTGGATAATTGCTTAGCACTTGGTGCCGATAATGCACCAGTATTGGTAGGCTTGAAGACTGGTGTTGCAGGCATCTTAAGAAGGGAAAATTCAGATTTGCAGATTATGAGGTGCACCTGTCACCTCTTAAATTTAGCAGCTGAAAAAGGGGCAGCTTCTTTACCAATAAATGTGGATGAACACATTGTTGATATTTATTATTATCTTGAAAGGAGTTCTAAAAGGAAGGAAAAATTGAAACAATTCCAACAGCTGCATAACAGCAGTTTACAATTAGAAAACTTGAATGCAGTTATAAAATCAGCTAGGATTGACACTCAGTGGAGTTTAATTGGAAAACTGAAAGGTGCTGATGGAATTTTAAAATATAGCCAACTGTCTAGAATTGTGTTGGCCATCTTGACAGTTCCCCATAGTAGTGCAGAGTGTGAGAGGATTTTCAATGTTGTTGCGTAAACGAGGACTAAATTTAGATCTAATATTAGTGACGATACATTATAAAAACTTTTCTTAGCGAAAGCAGGCCTACGTGTCAATTGCAGTGAACAAAATTAGTTCTTTAACAAAGAAACTTCCTAATTTTCTAAACTAAAATTCCCTCCCCCCCCCCCCGTAAACGATGCAAGTAATAAAAATGTTTTTTTATGTGTAAGGTATTTTTGTGTTGCTTGCATTTAAGAATTAGTTACTATTAAAGTTAATTCATTATTAAAAACCATATTTTTATCATTTAAAAAGTCTTTTTAACATTGTGGAAAATCTTCTGATTTCTTAAAAAAATCTCCTGATTTTTGAGTGTCATAGGTTGGCAAGTATGTAAAATGTTCAAGGCTTAACATATGCACATTCCTTGAAGCACCAAAAAAAAAAAAAAAAAGATATCAGTTATGTTTGGAATTCACAACAGCACTCCATTTCTCATAAATGATTTTATCTAAAAGTAACTTATATATGGTGCTAGACATTTGTGAAAACTTAATAAGCTGATTGATAGTCGTAACTGAAATGACTTCTGTAATACACATTAAATGAGCTGTGCTAGTCAGTGTTTGGAAAGTAGTTGAAAAATTCCAAATGATGAAGGATAATTTTTTTTAAGTGTGATATTGTATCAAGAATGTACTTCAGATTTATAAATTTTGGTAGAACATTGAACATAATGCAGTGCAGTTTTATGAATATCCAAAGAGTGGGTGATTATAAACATCAGCATCTGGCAAGCATTTTAATCAACAGGCATGCAACATTGTATCAAATAACACAGCAGCTTAAGGATGGAATCTTTGTTAACTCCATTGTGAGAGCTATATGTAATAGTTTATGCATAATTGCTGATAACCTGTTTAAATGTTATTTCTTTTCTCATGGTCCAAAAATGTTCATCAAATATGCCAGTTTGTATACCTAGGTTCTGCATTTATAACCGTCACCAACAGAGAGTTATGGACCATAAAAAATAAATAAAGTTCATTAATAATTTATGAATAAATGAGAATCTGTACTCAGTATTTGTATTATTCATTGACTTTTGATTCTGGTTCTCATTTGTTTTTTTGTTCACATTGAGGTCAATACAGAATGTCCTTGGAATATCCTCTGGACAGAGGAAGCATATTTTCATTTGTATGGGGCATTGAATGCTTGCAACTGCAAACTTAGGAACCACAAAATTTGGTCCTATCTTAGAGGTACTGTTGCATTCACCAAAGTGATGGATGCTATGGTGTGGAATTTCTGCATGATTTATTCTCAGTCAGTACTTCTTCGAGGAGGTGGGCTCTACAGGTCCAGTGACATGCTCGGTCACTGGGCAGCAGTATGCATTGATGTTAAAGAACGAAATTGTTCCATTTCTGCAATCACATCTGTGCCTTGCATGCACAGTCTTTATACAAGGTGGAGCTCCTCCACACATTGCACAGTGTGCTACGAATGTTCTTAACCGTCATCTTACAGAAGAACATGTCAGCTGGCACTTTCCTAATATGTGGCCTTCCCTATTTCCAGACCTCAATCCATGTGATTTTTGACTTTGGGGGCATTACGAATATCTCGTAAGTCATGACAATCCTAGAACTTTACTTGATTGTAAAGCAAACATTTCACGGTAAATGCTCAAAATTTTCTAGCATGCACTTCACTCAACTGTGGGACATGCCATCTTGCAATTTCAGATGGTAATTGAAAATGATGGCCATCGTGTGAAAAGTGTTTTCTTGCAAAAAATTGTAACATTATAAAACTATTGTAAGGATGGGGCTAAATGTGTAATATAAGGGGCAATCAAAAAGTTTCCATTTGAGGTGATTGCTATAGCATTTATGGAAATTAGTGCATCACCAATGAGGGTATATCAGTACCAGTATCTTGACATGGGATTATTATGGCATTCATCTATTTCCAGAGAGTATGTTGAAAATACTTGAACATTAACAGTTGCAGATGTTATTACCAAATGTGCCCAAACAATTGTGAATGTTATTGCCAAAGAACCATGTGCAATTATTCTCTTTTTGCCTTTCAAATCTGTAGATATTCATCAGAGAATGAAGGATGTTCATGGAGAAGCATTGTCAAAAACCACTGCTGTAGAATGGTGCTGCTTTAGATCATTGCTGGATGTGATTCAACTCAAGATGCAATATATGGAGGCCCTCAACTTCCATTACAGACTACAACAAGTGAGCAGTTGATGAGTGTGATTAGTGTGGAATGTTGCATAATCCATTTGTGCACTGCCAAAAGATCTCAACTTAAACTTCGATAATGTGCAATGCATTATCTGCCAGGAGTTAGGCTACCATAAGATCTGCAGCCAATAGATACCTTGGGCATTGGATTCCGAACAAAAATCGATCTGGATGGCTGTTTGTCTGAAGCTCCTGATGCATTTCGGTGTTGAAGTCAACTTGAGCGTATTGTTGCAGGTGACGACAAGTAGTGCCATCACTGGGAACCACTGTGTTGAAAGCATAGACTATGCACTGGTGTCATCCTTCGTCCCCTCATCCCAAAAAGTTCAAGAGCAAATCAACTGCTGGAAAAGTGATGCTTACTCTGTTCTTTGGTTTTCAGCGCCCATTTCTTATTAATTTCAAGAATCCAGGTGTCTCTATCATTGCAGAATGGTACTGCAGAACAGTGGACAAATTACAGTGTGCAATTAAGGTGGACCATCTGGGAGAACTGTTCATGGTTATGCACATCTCCATATCACAAATGTCGTTATGCGAAAGTTACACACACTAAAGTGCAAGATATTTAGGCACCTCCTTGCAGGCCTAAACTCTCCCCTTGCAATTTTCACACCTTCGGTCCCTTAAAAACTCCTTGAAAGATCTATAGTTCCGGTAGGATGGAGGAATGCAGGAAGGGAGGGACTTCTTTACGCTGCATAAAAAGGGGTTTTACGTAATGGGTATATTCAATTTGGTGAAGCCATTGATGATTGCCTAAATGCTGAAGATGATTTTGCATGATTGGCATACCAATTCTGGATTGTACAGCCTTTGAACAGAAACTTTTTGGCTACTCCTTATCTGTTAAAACAGTGCTCTATTGTTGCAATATTTGTAACCTGCGGAAAGACTTATCCATCCCTTCATTAAGTATGTCACAACATTTTCTGATAATTGGTTTTGCCTGTACTTATATTTTTTCTGCATTAAAATATTTGAATTAATGTTATCTTATTTGGAAATAGGTTCTCTAATTAAATTTTGTTTATTTTGTAAGTTCTAATTAAATTTTTTGAATTAATAGCTTGTGATAAAGAACATGAAGAATGAAATTACGAAAAAAGTACAAGCACCAAATTGTGATGAAATATTTTATGCTGGCACAGGAATGCTTTTGCTGAGAGATTCAGAAGGTTTAATTTTGTTCGATGTTCAACAAAATAGGTAATTTCTTTGTTATTATTTGTTAAGGAAATTTTTTAACCTAATGAAAGTGAAATATGCTAATTTCCCATGCTAGGAGAAAATTTTAAATTCGTGCTTTTTTTTAAAAAAACTAGTGTGATAATTGGAAGTCCTTTGTATTTTTATGTTTATTAAATTATTATGTTTGCTATTTAAATGTGTTTTGCTCTGTATGTAATGCAAAATTAGTGATAAAAGTAAAGCAATATTAATTGTGAAAATCTCAAATGACATGTATTTGCTTCACAAAATTTAAAACTATTAAATTTGAATGTTTTTTTAATTATTTTCATTAAATATGCACAGTATTCTTTAAAAAAATAAGTGAAACAACTTGGCAAGCATGTAGTATTATAGTCACAATATAAAGAAAATTGATATAATTATATCTGTAAAAATTTTTTTAAACAATCTTGTTTTTGTAAAATTGGTATAAAATGCAATATCATATAAACATTAAGAAAAATGTAATGCAAGTTACTGATGTTATGTCACATAATTAAGCTTGTGTCTTATTGTAAGATTGTATTATTATCTTGAATCTTATATGATGTCTTATTGTTAAAAATGATATTTTAATTTGTACAGTGGTATGAAATTTAACACATTTTTAGTTTTATGTGATCACAAAGTAGTAGTATCTAAAATACAATTTAATATTTTTAAGTTAATGTCAACTGATTTTCTTGTAATATTAAGTTATGCACATTTTCATTTAATGAACTTACAACATTCATATGGAACTAATTCTCATTTTATTCTTGCTTGCAGATTACTAGCAACAGTAAAAGCGGGTAGAGTAAAATATGTTATCTGGAGTAGTGACATGAGCCATGTTGCATTCTTTAGTAAACATGTCATCACTATTTGCAACAGGAGATTGGATGTGCTTTGCACTGTGCAAGAAAATAACAGAGTGAAAAGTGGTTCATGGGATGACAACAGTGTATTTATTTACACAACATCTAATCACATAAAATATGCTTTGACTAATGGGTAATTATTTTCTCTTTCAAGTGACCTTCCAGTTTTATTCATTTAAAATGTTTATTCTAAGTACAATTTCTGACAATAATATTTTGTGTATTTTAGTGATCATGGTATAATCCGAACATTAGATGTTCCTATTTATATCACGTGTGTCAAAGATTCAAATGTGTATTGCCTGGATAGAGAATGCAGGCCAAGAGTTTTGACAATTGATCCCACTGAATATAGATTTAAGCTTGCTCTTGTGAACAGAAAATATGAAGAGGTATTTATTTATTTATTTATTTTATTATTATTTTTTTATGTGGGAATTATACTTTCTGGCATACTATGCAAATTTCTATAACATCAGTGAACCCAATTATGAAAAGTTACATTTAAAAGTATACAGAGGAATTTGTTATTTAAATTATTTGCTTATTTATTATTAAAAGTTTATAGATGAATTTATTACTGAAGTTTTCCTTCTTCCCTATAGTAAATTCTTTCTTGCTCTTAAAGCATAGCATCTGTGGATGCAAAATAAATATGAGAGTCAAAATAGAATACAAGAATTTCTGCATTGTTTATCACCGAAATTATTTAAATTCGCTTTATGAAATTTATTTGATAAAGTTTAAATGGAACACATTTATACTTAAATTTCATGTTCTTTTGACTCGCACTACTGGATTGTATCAGGCATTCCTAAAGACATGAAAGTTTTCTTGAAAAGGAAGCAATCAATTTGCTTAATATTGGCTTCTTTGTACTGAACTTAATATTGGCTTCTTTGTACTGAACTTAATATTGGCTTCTTTGTACTGAACGAGGTAGTTATAAAGTGTTTGGTTTCACTGATTCACCAGAATTCTATACAGTTCTAGGAGGTCTTAAAAACAGTGCATTTGCATATGTGTAGCTGCGTGTCTGAAAATTAAGAGGAAAAAAAATAGTCTTACATATATATTGTTTGTTTATGTACTGAAGTCTGTTATTTTTAATTTTCGAGATGCAAGTCAAAATATCAACAGTTTGAAGCCTTGAGCAACAGTTTATGTTGTTATTGCTATTTTGAAAGAAAGATGAGTTTTCTCTCCTCAAACATGCAGTAGGGATGCAAACAGTATTATCAGAATGAAATATAAATAATGATTCTCATCTTGTTACTAATACATTTTTTCTTATACAGTCAAAAGTCGTTAATTCAGACCTCAAAGGTACAAACTTTCTGTGCATGCGTCGCGTTGACGCATGCGTGTAAGACCTTTATGGCTGCGAATATGCGTGTGCGCATGCGCAAAATACATTTACGCTTGCGCATTTAATGTATAACGGACGGTATAAGCTAAGATAAAATTATCTAATTCAGTTAATGTTGCAGATTGCATAGTTCCTTAATCTTCGAATTGGATCCGGCTTATTATTTTTTGCAGACTGTTAGAGCAATTTTATAAAAGTAAGCTTGAGCTTTTGATTATGTCAAATAGAATTTCTGATATATATTTACTAATATGTAAAGGATCTACAAAGCGAAAGTATGTTTTGAAGTCCATTAAACAAAAGTGGAATTGCTGCAAAAAATGACCTAACCATTCCGAATGCGGCGGCGGCGGGGAGGAAACGCCGCTGCGCGCAATGAATTGGAAGTTGATCTGTCAGCACTATCCTTATCTTCAGGGCAGATGTTTTCATTTTATTTGGCTTATAATTCCTTACTAAATGTAGTATTTCATTTCGATGTATTCTGTCTTTGATATGATTTAAATCAAATTCCTCGTCATTATAAATTGCTTCCGATAGTGAAGAAAGTGACACCAAGGTTATTGAAAACAAAAAAATTTTGATTGACAAATTAGTCGGTATTCTCGACACAGCAATTATAGGACTTGAACAGTGGAACTTTGTAACTGAAGAAGAAATTATGTCTGTTTATAGAATTAAAGAGAAAGTATTAGCACAAAAAACAAAGCAACTTAAAGAACTTACATTGATAGAAATGTTTACTAAAGTAAACAAATAAATATTAAGCTTTTTTTTTTTTTGTAAATTTTGATACCCTTTAGATCATAATTGTTCTTTATTTCATAAATTACGTTTTCATATTTTTAATTTTATAATTTCTGCATGTCATCTTACCAGATTTAAACTGATGATCTATAATCCGGAAAAATCGATAACGACTTTTGACTGTATATGGATCGAATGCAATAATTTACATGCATCATAGTTATATCTGATTGACTGCTACTCAGACATAAATATTTTAAATTGAGCTGCTGTTACTTTTTCATTACATCTTGTTACTACTGTGGTATTGGTTAGAATTGTCTATTATTTTGTTCAACATTTTATTCTTAAATATATTTGAAGGATTAAAGTGAAAAAGGAAATTATGGTTTAATGATGTAAAGGAAATACTGAAGTTACCTTTTTATATTTCTTTTCTGCTAGTCTTGTAGTGCTGTTTTGTGTAACAAAAACATTTTTTTTTTAAATAAACTATAATAGCTAAAAAATTTAAATTGGCCTCTCAAGAAGATGTTATTGAGATTCGCTCTTTAATGGACTAAAAATTAAAAAGCAAATTTGGAAGTATGCACAACTCGCATCTAGATTAACAAAAGATAACAAGATATTTATACAAATGCTAATAAAATATATTTTTCTTTTGATATTTAACTGAAAAGTTTGTTATGGTAAATTTTTCATTTTATTAGTGCACATAGTGCTAAAATATATTGCTTTTGAATATTTTCATGATTAATATCTTTGTATTAATTTTAAATAATTTTGTAAAATAATTGTAATAAATCAGAACAAAATAAATAAAAATTTACTCTTGAAATTTTCATTTATAATTGTTTGCATTTCTCCTTTGAAAATGCTTTTTAAGAATAAATTTCCTTGAAAGATAAATTGAAGGTTAACATAGCGATGTAAAATAAAATAAAATAAAAATATATTGATTGGAAATTTTATCTCTCATGTTACTTGCTGTAATATAGTCGCTTTGATTGACAAACTTATGTAGTATATGCATTACTGAGATTATTATTTTCCTTTTCTATTTCTTATTAGTATGCATTTGCTTTTAAAGTCTCTGGTAAATTTGAAGAGTTTAGAAAAAATTGGTAGGCTATAAGATGTACTTAATAGTAGCCATAAATTTTGTGCTATTATATGTTTGTTATCATTGCCACTGACAAGAGCAACACACATCTTTGAATTAGCTGATTTCACTCAAATTTTGCACAGTTATAAAAAATTTTCAACTGGATATGTTTGCGTTTAACTCGGACTGTTCGGAAATAAAGAAGAATATTGACTCTAAAACATTCTCAACACCATTTGTGCTACAAGGTTGCCACTCATCAATGAAGTCGATGCTGAAATTTTCTATAGAAAGCTATGTGTGGCAAGTACACTGTATTATTTGTATGTTATTTGATTCTGTTTATGTGAATTTAAGTGGAGAACCTGAAATAAAGGCAAAACCCATTTGAAATTGCTGCCAGCAAACCACCACTGACTCATTCCTGTCTTTTATGACAATATATTCTTGTTTGAAAAGTATTATCAATAACACTTCTCAAAGTGAATCATTCTATTTTAGTTCTTTATTGAAATAACCACAGTTAACCCCTGATTAACAGAGGGCAGATTAACCAGTTTGGAAATTGTATGGGTCTTTTTTTGCTTTCCCTCTTTCTTTCTTCAGTTGTAGTAAATGATGTGATGTTTGGGAGTTCTTTTTAGTCACAACAATATGTAACTTAGTTGTATGTAATATGGCATATATGAACAAAAATATGCTACATGCAGCTATCACTTTCTCTGAGTGAACAGAATTCACCATAACTTTCAGCAGTTGTACAAGTTCAGTATGAAAAACAGGAGGTGGATCGACAATACATCATTGTTTCAGATATGGAAAAGTACTTGAAGATGAAGTATTTATTAGTAATCAAACAGTGTAAGCTCTTCATTGTGATATTCTTTGTTTCTTTCAGAATATTTTTTAAAAAGTACGTAGAATTTTTTGTTATATGGCAGCATGTATTCAGAAATTTCACTTCAAAATTTATATGGAGTTTATGTACACATTTCAAAGTCAAACCATAATCAGTTAATATTTGTGTATGCTAACTAACTACATCAGTAATTAATTCATTTTTTCCTTTGTAGGTTTTGCATATGGTGAGGAATGCTAAACTAGTTGGGCAGTCCATAATTGCTTATCTGCAGAAAAAAGGTTACCCTGAAGTTGCTCTGCATTTTGTTAAGGATGAAAAAACTAGATTCGCCTTAGCCCTTGAATGTGGTAATATAGAGGTAATATTCATTCATGTATCACTGAATACCTTTTGAATGGTTATTAATAGTTAATAGTTGAATATAGAAAGGAAACTTATTTTTCAAAATCTTCAATTTTGATTTTGAATTTGATTTTGATTTGAAATTTGAATCAAAACCAATAGAAATTGGTTTAATTTTGGGTGAAGAGAAGTACAGTGTAAGTAATATTTTTTTCAATTTTTCTCATGTAAAGAAGAGAATAAATTTGAAGCGACTGGCGTTTTATAACTCAAAGCATTATGATACAGTACAAGGTTTGAAATCTCCCCCCTTTTTGTGTATGTGGTAAATTTTCATTCCATTAAGGTTATAAATGTTTCATTATTTCATAAACAAGTATTTCAGATTTTTAATCTTGTAATTTCTTTTTGTCATTTTACTAGATTCAAAATGATGATTTAAAATCCGAATAATTTCTGGACTCGCCAATATTCTGACGAGTATGGATCTCGTTCTTTGTACTATAGTTATAATATATGTGTAGTCAATTACATTAAAAGCAAAGTATTAAAAGCATTAATTTGCTAATGAAAGTGATTATAAAAATATTTATGATATTTCTGTACAATGAATTTAAATGTAATATTTGTATTCATTAAAATCCTGTACTGTTTGAAGTTTGTATTATCTTTATTAATGTTTCTCATTTTATAGTTGCATATAAATAGAAACATGTGGTATTAATTTACTTTTGCCTATATTTGAGTGATTCGCTGGATATTTTTGGAAGTTGCAAGTGGCCTTGCAGTTTTAGTTTATTATATTAACATGATTTATTTCTCTAAATCTGATGATAATTATCTGTGCCTTCATGTATTGCATATTAGAGATTTCTGATGAAAGTCCCAGTCATACTTAAATTTCTAATTTCTAAGTATTTTATCATGCTGATTATATTTAGTCTCTAATTTAAAGCTTAATTAAATTCTAAATTGAGCAATTCAAAATTGTATTCTTCAGAAATTGTCATTTGAAGCAGTTGGAATTTGCAAGCATTAAAAATTCATCTTTTCTTGCCTTTTGAAAGAAAACTATTGGAAATAATGTAAATCTTTTTGTGATATTATTTGTAGACTTTTTAATATTATATATATGAAATGTTAATTAAGACAGGGTTGCCACGCTACCTGGAAAATCGGAAAAAGTCAGGGAATTCGGAAATTGACCAAAAAATTCAGGGAAAAGTCAGGGAATTTAAGTGTTTTAGTCAAAATCTGGAAAAGTCAGGGAATTTCATACAACGATCCCGCCAAAAACGGCGAGTTTTGCGCCGACGTCGGAAAAGATAACTTTTTTGGCGAATTGTGTATCACGTGAGTGTCATTCGGGCAGCTGGCATAGAGCCAATTTTCGCAGCTCCAATCTGATTGTCTTTTAGAAAGGCAAAGCAAGTTTCCCGCAACTTTTGGTTTCCAGTAACCTCGAGAATCGCATGTGCAGTGCATGAACTAAAGAAAATACCTGTTCTCATATAAAACAAAATGGGTTTAATCCTAGTATACGGTAGTATGAAGGTTAGAATAAAAAAATATGTATTGTAAAGAAGAAAAACTTCTCTGCAACAGACGTGGCTCTGTTCCATCATAAAGGGAAACAGCTGTGCATGCGCGATATATCTGTCGCCAAAGCTCGAAACCGGTGTCGAAGTTCGAAGGTCACGTTATCAAGAGTTCATAAAATGAATATCGTTTAAAATTTCTTTAAACTCTAAAGGAAAAGAAAATATTTTTTGGCGCAAGTAAATTCATGAATTAGTTATTTTGAGGGGGGGGAAACTACGAAAATCCGTTTTTAAAATTATTGCGAAAAATCCAAGAAAAAACGTTCTTTGATAAAACGTTTCTTCTGGATTTTTCTCAATAATCTAGAAATGGATTTTCAAAGTTTCCTTTTTTGTCAAAGAACGTTTCTTCTTAACACGTGTTTCTCAATTTCCTGTACACATCGCGGAGAGGGAAATTCTGGCCGCCAGGTTCCGTCGGCAAATCTCTTGGCAAATTTTCCCTCTGCTTTCTAGCGACGTAATAGCACTTACGTGTATGGAACCTTTTCTTCTGTACATAGACGTTCTTTGGTTAAAATAATCTCCATGTATGGTGCAGCGGGATTTGGCGACATGGTGATGAGCAGTGAACGGGTCATTTTGTTCTTGGCGACAATTTTCAAAATCATGCGAAGGCCGTACCATATACTAGAATTTTACCGCAAAAACTTTTTTTGTTTCTTTTCTTTTTAATAAATACCTTGTCATTTTGCAGTAAAATAAAAAAATAATAATCAGTCATCTAGGCTAACTATATTCGCTAAAATATCGTTGATTATTCTAATTCAATTTTTAAGTAATTATCCTTATTTTTATGTTATTCATATCATTTAATGTTTCTTCTTCCCTCTAAATTTATTTATCATTAGTAAATAATATTTCCAAATTTCAGAAAATTTTCTCTGGCATAATCCTGAAATTAATTCTAGCAGTATGATGACATCACGAAATTTAATGCACATATTTTTCCCTTATGTATGCTGCGAAATAAATATAAAATACATCAATTTAGTAAAAAAATATCATTAAATAGATTTCTTTCTTTCATTTAGCTGCAGAATGTCTGCAAAAAAAGCCTTTTTTTTATTCCAGATTGGGCAGATTCTAATCTCAATCTTCAGTGGAGAAAACAACTTATAATTATATTTGTGTTTTTAAGTGTTAAGGTGCCTTTTAAGAAGACACCTCACACAAATTAAATTTACCTAAAATTTAACCTAACTTTTAGCATTGCGTTGTGATTTATAAGAACCAGATTAGTCTCATGTTGAACTGGTGATGATCATGAGTAATAATTAAATAAAATGTACAATTGTTATCCAATATATATATCTTAAATTTTATTAAGTTTCTTAAGTGGAGAAGTAAACAAAATTATCAAATAAAGTGTACCAAGAATAATTAAGAATAAATGTCCTCTGGGATTTATTGAATAATTAAGTGAATTTGCTATACAGTACAAGTAATACCATAATTAATTTACCTCTTAGCACAGCCAACGTACATTACGCGAATAGACTGGAATTTTCTCGAAACATACCTGGAAAAGTCAGAGAATTTCATTCTCCTGTTTGAGTGGCAACCCTGTTAAGAGAATTAAGATTAGTTGCACATTTATTTGTCACATGAGTATACTAATTATTCTAAACTGCTGTAAAGAATTTTATCATCATATTATTACAAAATGCCAAAATATTAGTAGTTGTAATAAATACACTGGTTATCATAAATTAAGAAAAAATTGCAAAAATAGCGATAACTCCCTCAAAAATAAGCCAAACCGTGTAAAATTTGAATATGCTGTCAAGTAAGAGTAGCTGAGTGAAACTGCGATATGCAAATTAGTGGCTCTGCTTTTGGAATACGTCATCTGCGAGAAGCATAAAAGTCCATGTTTGAGAGCAAGCCCACATATTGCACTATGACAGTGACATCAGAAATCTGAGATAGCCAATTCGTAATAATGACCTCCAGGCATCATTTGCCTGCAGAACTGTGATGGAGAGCTGTTTGGGAGACTAGAGGCAGGATAAAGTCGAACAGAAGTGGCCAGATGGCTAAATGTGAGTCCTTCTGTGGTTCATAGACTTTGGAGGCAATTTCAAACCACAGATTCAGCATCTAGGAGGTTCAGCCAAGGACGGCCAACTGCTACGACGAACGTCGATGGCCGATATTTGACATCATGTGCACGCAGGAATAAACCGCTACTCCGACTCTTCTTAGATCCTCCCTTGCTGCAGCCACCGGAAGGTTCGTGTCAATGTCAACTGTGCACAGAAGGCTTCACAAAGGTAGTCTGTAAGCGAGGTGACCAGCCATTTGTGTGCCGCTCATGTCACACCACAGGAGGGACCGTTTTCAGTGGGCACGACAATATGTCCACAGGACGCCTGATCAATGGAAGGCAGTTCTCTTTACGTATGAGTCCAGGTTTAGTCTAGAAAGCGATAGTAGGCGTTATTTGATATGGAGAGAACCTGGAACCTGTTATCATCCGTCAAACATCCGTTAAAGAGATGCATACGGAAGAGACAGCGTCTGTGTTTGGGGTGGCATCTCTTTGGGTGGACGCACAGACCTCCATGTTTTTCCAAGCGAACCATAAATGCTCAGATTTATAGAGATGACATCCTTGATGTTTTTGTGCGCCCATATGCAAGGCAATAGGTGATGCTTTCCTGTTACAGGACGACAATGCAAGACCACACAGGGTTCGCATCGTAGATGATTACCTTCAACAGAAAACAATTATGTGCATGGAGTGGCCAGCTCGATCCCCGGACTTAAATCCTATCGAACACGTTTGGGATGCTTTAGGGAGACGTCTAGCTGCTCTCAATTCGCCCCCTCAGACTCTTGTCATGCTTGCAACTGCTTTGCAAGAGCAATGGCTCTCGCTTCCTATGGAAATGATAGACCACATAATTGAAAGCATGGCACATCGCTGTACGTGCTGTATTGCTTCTAGAGGCGATCATATTCCATATTGAAGGTACTTTACCTATAGCAAACTGAGACCTTTGATTTGTTCATTTTATACATGTGCTAATTTCTATACTACTGTATTTGTCTGGTAATTTCATTTTATGTTATTTGATACCTTACTATGTGTTGTATATTGTGAGTACGTTTCATTAAATTCTACATGTAACTTTTTCAGTAATCGTGATTTTTCCTTAATTTATGATAACCAGTGTATGTTTTGTCATATTTCACAAAAGTAGTTTTAGAGACTTTATGTATATTATGTGTTATTACATCATTTGAATCAAATTCATTCAGCTTTAAAAGTTTATATAATAGTGTTTGAATGTGTTGAGCAATTTTCTGATATTGTTTTTGTTGTTGTAGTATTTCATTTGTTTGACGTATTCAGAACAAACTCGTGAATATTTTCGTGGCAAGGAGTGCATTTTTTGCACCTGTCATTTGGCATGTGCCTTGAGCACCATACAAGTAACAGCACATTTTCTGTTTTAGTTCTATTCCAATTTTGAGAGAGAGCATCCAGGGAAAACTTGTCTGAGGATCTCTCACCTCTCCCCTTGCCATTAAACCATACGAGAGGCCTTCTGGCTCGCCATATATTTAGAGTGCCCTTATGCCACGAAGACATTACAACATCTGTGCAATTTCCAGGATTTGAACCTGGTCTATTCAGTACAACTGTCAGAGTTGCTAAACACTATAGCATCTGGGCAGTAGTTATTCTGAGTTACCTATTTATACTGTTGATTATCAATCCTGTTGTACTTTTTCTTGCTATACCCTTGCAAATGAATTTAAAAGAAGGAAAATCCAGTTTATCTCTACCTGCAGAAAATGTCACCATGGTAATTTCTTTAGAGACTTACCAAAGCTAAAATTCATTGATTAATTAGAGCAATAGATTTAAAATGCCTGTAGTAATACCACCCGTCAAAGACCACTTACAAAGATGGCAATAGTTCTAGACTAAAAATTTAAAAACAATATAGAAACTGTAAATATATGACAACTGAGCTTTTGAGATCTTGATTAGAAAAATGCTTTTCTACTTCTACTAAAATCTTATGTATGTAAAAACTTCTACTAAATCTTCTACTAAACTTCTACTAAAATCTTATGTATGTGTATGTCATGATGCATAAAAAATTAAAATAGTTAGTGAGACAGGTCTTGCATGAACTCAGTTTGCATCATATGCTTGCATGCATATATTATTTAAGATACAGGTTAATGTGAAGAAAAACAGTGAACTTGTGCGAAGCAAGAGATGTCCTAAAATTCCATGTACAGAAAGATTTGGATCCTAATTCGTGTTGTTGCTATGAGCACAGTATGTTTATACATCAGCAGAACAACTGGTATGAGTATGCTTACTATTAAGAGCCAAGAAAAACTAAATGAATAAGCAATATTAAGATTTTTTAAAAGACATCTTCATCCATGTGAAAACGTTCTATTGGGATTTCTGGTCAATGCAAAGCATTATTGACATAGACCTGTAAAAGCCTGGATTGAAAGAAACAGCATTGAGCATCCATCTTATCATTCAGATATAAGTTCGCGTAATTTGAATAGACCTCATGTGCTTTGCCTTGATTAGTTGCCAACTTTTCAGAAAACTATCTTTCAAAAATGATAATGTAATTGAGATGAGTTGGTGTCATATTATATGCTGTAATAAACAGCTATGTTAAACATTCTCTTTATCTAGTGCAATTTTTAGCTCTGCGGTTTTATTTTGAAGCATCACAGAAGTATTATATATATTATAAATTATGTGTCATTATAAATTTATTTTACAGAATGTAATTCCCCCCCCTAGATGAAATGTCTGTTTTTTTAAAATTCTATTTAGTGCATGATTTAAATAATATCTTCTGCATATTTTTTTTCATTGCTTCACTAATGAGTAAGCTGCAAATTAAATTTTTAATGTTTTTGGTTATTTCCTTTTATTTTGTAATAAATGCTTAATTTTTTTTTAACATTCATACTTAATTTGCTTACTAGTTCATCATATTTGGTCAGAGAAATTCTTAAATTTATCATGGAAAATCAGGGAATCTTAAACTTGAATTTTAGTGGAAACCTGTTATAGAAGCTTCTGCAGGTCAGGTAAAGTCCCGAATTGTCTGAAATGGCAACTCTTTATGGGAAAATGCACATTTCATAAATTATGGTAGGATGCTTGCTGGATGTCAGGATGTATAAAATGAGATGTATCTGCGGAAATGGCCGTAGTGAATTTAGTTTCTTTCTTTTTCCTCATCTTTGTCAAAGGAGTTTTGAATTCCAGATGGGAAACGTAAAATTTCATCTAGGGGAGAAGCTACTAAATACATTACAATTCATTAAAATGTTAAATGATGTGCATTTTCTGGATAAATTCTTATCGCGAAATAAATCATCAAGTTTTATAATGCACTGATAAATTGAAGTTGTTTGATTTTCTGAAAGGAAGACTAATTTTCAAATTTCATGGAGTAAGAATTTTATAGAAACTGTTTTATAATTAAAAAATAGGCAAGAAAAAACATGTCAAGCTTGAGATACTTATATAACATCATAAGATTGTTTAAGACCATAAGATCAAATATGTAGAGAGGAAACTGCTAAATTTGTAGTCCAATTAAATTCACAAGGTGGTAAACTGTATTATACAAAATTTGCATTTTAAATTAGAATGCCTTAGATATAAGAATTATATGATTTATACATATATTTTAAGTAAAAATTCTTGCTTATCTGACATATTGACATTATATAACTGTTCTTTTCAGGTAGCTTTAGATGCTGCAAGAATATTAGATGATAAAGCATGTTGGGAAAAACTAGGTGAAGCTGCTTTACTTCATGGAAATCATCAAGTAATTTCGAATTATTTTCTTCAAATTTAAAATTGAGTAAATGCTGTTTAATTAGCATTATATTTTCAGTTTATATGCATTTATGTATTAAGTCTATATGGGAGCTACAAATAGCATTAGAAACTTCCGTTTCTGTATAAGCATTTATTTGAAACATTTACTAGTATACTAAATTCTCAGAAAGCTGTTTATAAGTTACGTATTCTTAACCATGACATATTCTTAACAGTTAAGAAACATATCATTAATCTTTCATTTCTAATAACTTAAGCAAGGAGAAATAATATTATTTTTAACCTTTTTAAAATGTAAACATAAAAATTTCATATAGCAGCTATATACATTACAGTTCATTAAAATGTTAAATGATGTGCATTTTCATGATGAATTCTTATCGTAAAGTAAATCATCAAATTTTATGATGCACTGATAAATTGAGGCTGTTTGATTCTCTAAAACGAAGACGGTAATTTTCAAACTTCATAGAGTAATAATTTTATAGAAACCAACTATTTTATAATTAAAAATAGGTAAGAAAAAACATTTATGCTTGAGATACTTGTATAAGATAAGAAAAATATTGTTTTTAACCTTATTAAAAAGAAATAGTATTTTTTTTTAACCTTTTCAAAATGTATCCTATATTCTATTAAAATTAAAATTGTTAATCATTAGAATTTCAGTGCAATGAAGGACAGAAGATAGCAAAATCAGATTTATTTTACAAATATCCTTTGATGCTAGGATAAAATGATTAAAATTTCAAATAGTTAAATGTGTAGAATTTGCAGAGACCACTACAGCGTGTATCTTCTATAGGTAGCAATAACTGCTGCTCCATAGTTGGGCATAGACTGCAGATATGTTGATATTAGCTTACAATATTGCAGATTGTTAGTTTATCTGTTGTTGATTTCAAAAGTCTAGAAAATTCTTTGGGCTTTCCATAGAAACAAGAAAGTGAAAGTTTAGGGAATTTAGTTCTGTTTTCTAAAGGCACAGTTTTTAATTTCTATGTGCGCACTTTCTGGATTTTCAAATTGATATAATATTGTTTTTCAACTTTAATTGGTATTATGTTTTCATTATATCCATCTACCATGTTAATTTCATCCTTAATTTTGTTTTTTTCCCCTTCAACAATTTATCAATATCATTATTTAGTAGGCTAACAATTTCAATTTTACTATTCAACTGTTCTAAATATCAATCACATACATCTATGTTGGCATCAGATTCATTCAAATGTTTGTTTATTTTTCCCACTTAAAATATTTGTTTATTTTCAACTTTAAATATTTGTAATTTTTCAACTTTATTTGTTTATTTTTAACTCAAATATTTGTTTATTTTCAACTTTAAAGTTTGCTCTGTATGTGTGTCACATTTAGTTCGCAATTTAGTTTTACAATTTAATTTTAAATTAATTCAATTCAATTTTACAATTTAGCCATTTTAATATATCAGTACTACAACAACAAGACAATTCTATACTGCCTAATAACACTTCAAGATCATCTAATCAGTTCAAAGAAACTCAAATAATGATTTCACAACCCAAAACCAAAACAAATGATTTCAAAACAAATGAAATTTGTTGACAAAACATAGTTTGTCAACAAATTTTCAAAACTAAAAAATTTTACAAACCCTATCATGCTGTTGTTTGAAAAGACAAAGTCAGCAGCCATCTGCGAATTGTATTTGATGGGGCGGCTCATGAAGAAGGAGAATTTTCGCTCAGTGTCTGTCATCATATTGGAGTGAACTTGTATAGACCTAATTTGTTTGAACTGTTATTGAAAGTTAGGCAAAGTTCTATAACGTATACATCAGATGTACAGCGAGCCTTGCTACAAATTGAAATCAATCCACAAGATCATTGATATACTAAATTTTTCTGGATTGATGATCTAAGTTCTAGAACATCAAGTGAAATAAAATCTATATCAAGTGAAATAAAAGAGATTGATGATCTAAGTTCAAGGACACATTACATATCAAGTGAAATAAAAGAAAGCTGGTAATCTAAAAATTTCCTTCCTTATGATAATCTCTAACTGAAGGGTGTAACAGAATTGATAATGGTTAAGAATAAAAGTATCCAAGTTAGAAGTTTAAATTAAATGCTGACTCTATATTATGAAAATTTTTACTTGTTTATGAGTTAACTGCAAGTGATTTATGTACTTGTTTTACCAATATTAGTTGGAGAACTCTGCCATGAACTAATTAAGTTTGTTTTATACCATGTTAGAAATATTTCTTCACCTTTTTACTTTTTGAACAAAAAAACTCTGCCTTTTAGTCTTAACCAGGATTTAAAAGAGAAGGGCTAGCTCATAGAGCTTTTTTCCCTGAAACAGGCAGTGGGGAGTGATGACGTAGCCATGATGACACCGAGTGCAGAGATGCAATTGACAACATAGAAATTAGCGTTTTAAATCTGAAGAACCAGCGTTTAAAATGAGCTGTGTATGAAAGATAGCTATAATTTAGAAGAGACAATGCTACTGCAGTATGCATTTTACTTTGAACATTAAAAAATTTAATAGTACTTACTCAATTTTAAAATAACAGATAAAATGCACTACTCTTAGCATAAAGTTCCTTTTTTTTTTATTATTATTTTATTTGGAGTGATTTTTTTTTTCTTTAAATGCCTGTTTATTTCTAATCATTTCTTTATCTGCATGTTAACTAAGAGAACTGTACTACTGCTTCTAAGATAACTATAATAACAGCTATTTAAAATTAATCAAAAAACAACCTTAAATTGGCATAGTTTTGAAAATTTCTGCTAATCAAATTTTGAGTTTCAGCCTAATTGTAAATTTTACATTGGCATATTTTTCTCTCGATTCAATATAATAACATATATTTTTTAAATAATTTTGTAACTTAGGCTTACATCAATATTACATTTAAATAAATGCATGTAAGATTGTTATCTTAATTTAGACAAAACAACTTTACTCACAGTACCTAAAAAAATTATTTACTTTTTGAAAAGTGGGGGTTAAGGAGGCAGATTTTCTTATGCCAATTACTTTAATATTATACTATTATATTTTATCTAGAATGCTAAGCTAGCACAAAATCTAATCAATAATAACACAGGATACAATAAAAATAACATTAACAATAACTTAACAAAATGAGTTCTCATTTGAAATATGCTTTAAGCTATTAACTTCTAAAATGTCATCTAGAAATATTTCAAATCAAAACATGTTATATATGCTTACTTGTACAATCACAAAGCAACTACAAGTTGTTGAAATATTGTTTATTGGCTACTACAACATAGAAAGAAAAGCAACCAAAAGGCAAAAAAGCAATCCACTTTTTTGCCTTTTGGTTGCTTTTCTTTGGGAAAAAAACATGCATTTCTATTTAAGAAACGTATTCTACAGAGCTCTTATGACAATGCAACGTGAAATATCTTCACTAGTCCACCTGATTTTTTCCTTCTTTTCTAGCAATGCGTTAATCTGTGTCTTTGTAAAAATATGCTTTAGATGTTTTTCCAAATTCTCCAATCTGTGCTGTTTTTTCTTAAATTTTGCTGTTTGGGATTTTAATTTCTGAATTTCCGACACAAATTTCTTTCTAGCTGTCCTCCACCTTCTTTGTCGCTGAGCAAAATTCTAAAATTTGTCTTTTCTCTATTTTTTAATATTTTATGACAATTTTCTAAGGATATTATTTTGTTCTTCAAATTTATCAATACGTTCCTGTTTATCTTTACACTTAGGGCATTCAGGGATATTGTCACTTGTGAGTTTTATTTCAAAATCATTCACATTTGATTTATTATTGTCAGCTTCAATTTCATTTTTGGCCTCAAAATAAATTTTCTTTGGGCTTAATTCATGTAGTCTTTCAAAAGCACTCTCCATTAGTTTTCTTTTCAAATGTCTCCAATTTCTCGGTGTTATTTCGTTTACTGCACACGATAAATATACTTTCGGCACAGTATTGCATTTCAGCAGTTTCTTTTGAGGCAATCCAAGCAAGCGATTTCTCATGTCATCTTCATAATCACTGCACAGAAAATGTTCGCCGCAAATTCTTGCGTTTTTCACTTTAATAGAATCCTGTCTTCGACATTTATGTATGCATTCTTTCGACAAAAGCAAATTGTCCTTTGGGAAAGCATGAAATACTATCTCTCTTCCTTTCATATTTCTATAAGTGTTACGGCACGTTGCTACAGCTCAAGAAGTCATATTATGTAAAGGATACTTTGAATATAGAATTTAAAAGGAAAACGGACTAAAACTATATATATATATATATATATACACAAATTATTTGAAATATTTGCATTATTAGGAAACAAATATGTATGATTAAAATTAATTTGAGATATGCGACCACTAGAAAACTGTCTCGCAACTGAATGAAACTACAGTTTTAAACGTGCAAAATCAGAGCAGGTGTAACACGGACACGTCAGATTACTTCCAGTTAACCCCCTTCATGAGGCTCGCATCGGCGAGGAGTCGAAGAAAGGAATAACCTAGCCCTTCTATTTATCCTTGGTATTAACAGGATTTCGCTCTGCAAATTTTTCTTATCAAAAAGTTTTTATTTCAATCCAACGGGCCAGCTCTTAATTTTATATTTAAATACAACTTTCAGGTTTTATTTTTCATTTCAGGAAATCCCTGAATAATTTGATTTGTACATTAGCCCAGCCACTTTGTATTTGATGTTTCTTTTAAATATGTTTAATTCCTAATTTTTCATTTTAATTTTTAGTGTTCATATGCTACTTAGTTTGTTGATGTTTTATTCTGAGTGTGTTAAGGCACGCAAACACGTTGGGAAAAGGGACAACTCTATTGAGACTTATGTTGTTTTAGTTTGAAAAGAAAATAGATTATGATTAATACCATTTGGAATCTCAATATATTTGCTCGATGAAACATGTTTGCATGCTCTTAGTTAACCCGCTCACGACGGGCACCTCTGTTATTGAAGCGTTCTCTTGACATCTTGTGGGGATGGGCAATTCGCTCTGCTAAGCGTAACTTTGGAAAAAAATTCATATGAATTAAATTTTTTATCCAATTGTTCTAGTTTTTGGTACATTATGAGAAGAACATTCAGGTAGTTGTCAGAATTAATTTTAAACCTTTAGTGTTATATTTTCCTTAAAAATTTTATAAAATGCTCATTCTAGAATAATATAATTTTTCCTTTATCCCACAATTAAATATATATGGAAAAATATCTAAACAATTGTAGATTTTGTTTAACACAACACATAATTAAAATTAAAAATAATAAAACTGTGTTTCATAAAAATTCAATGTGAAAACAACGAAAAGAAAGCAATATTTCAAAAAAGAGACAGTGTATCTTTGAAACATGGGTGTATGCAAAGTCCAACATTGCAAATGTCACAGGGATAGAATATCAGCAAATTTGACTCATTTAACATTTGTGTATCTTCTACGGTCAGATAGTGCTTTCGTTTTGTCATTAAAAAAAAGAACGCCAACAATAGAACATTAAAAAAAAAAAAAAAAAAAACTTTCGGTAAGCGATACAAAATATTCATCTCAATGCCAGAAAAAATCTAAGAGTAATAAAAAAATCTCTAATGATAAAACATCTATTCCTCTATATGGGGATTAAAAAAATAATAAAATAATAATAATAATAATAAAATTAATTAAAAAGTATTTCAGAGCATCGAGAACATGTTCGTTTGTTTGTAGTAAGAAGCATCACATTACTCAACACTAACGAATTATCATTTGTGTATATTCTTCCACGTTCAGATACCTATATCATAAAAATAAAAAGTACCTCAAAGCATTGAGAACACATGCATTTGTTTATATCAAATGACGCAGTTAAAGAGACATTACTTGCTCAACACCTACCCACGAATCTCCCTCTCATTCCGAAACAAAATACCAAAAATAAAGAACATTGCATAGGAATGAAGGTACACATACTTAACTTTCGATATATTTCCCCATAACAGACATACAGCTACATCTAGTGGCAAGAAAAATACTAATTAAACATTCTATCTAAAAAGTCAAATGTGGTACGCCCAGCCATAGAGTGAATTAAATGGTGATTCAAATATGACACACCTGACCGTGAGGTAATGTTCGCTGCAGATGCACATATACCGCACATATATTTCCGTACTGAACGAGTTCATCAACTTGGTTGAAGGCTTCAAGCACTTTTCTCTTGATAAGTTCTGTTTGAGGCTTTGAATGAGGAAGGTTGACTTTGTTATTTCTATGTGCATATTTTTAATCTTTATGTAGATTAGATGGGAATTATCACATTTTTTAAATATGATTTGTCACTGTTTCTCATAGCTATTCTGGAATTTGATATGTTGATTTGATCTATAATTTTACAGTAGTAATGTAAAATGAGGACTTGCTATATTTTGTACATCTATTTTATAAAATATTTTGAGATCTTGCATTGCAGAATATTTTTTGTTACTCTTTGCATTATGTGTATTTGTAGTATATAAGCTTTTTTTTTTTTAATTAAAAGTGAAAGATTTATGTAAAAGAACTTGCTCTTTTGTAATTGCAGGTTGTGGAGATGGCATATCAACGAACAAAGAATTTTGACAAATTATCATTTTTGTATCTGATAACTGGAAATTTGGAGAAATTGAAGAAAATGATGAAAATTGCTGAAATACGAAAAGACACTAGTGGGCAATTCCAGAATGCATTATATCTGGGCGATGTTGCTGAGCGTGTCAAAATATTAAAGGTATTTCGTATGTATATATTTTAAGTTTATTTTTTATGAATTTGTCTCGCATGGCATATTGACCTGTAAATTGTTTACGACAATTATTTTTCACCAGTGGTACATTCTTATAGGAGTAATTTAAAATGTAGCTATTCATTTTGTAGAGTTGTTAGGTTATTTTAAAGCAGGAGACATGAAAAATGAGCAGTGCTGTTGTCAGGACTCGAACCTGGACCTCTCTAATAAGTGCTAAGTGTGCTACCGTTACACTGCAAAGGCAGGGAAGTAGGGAGAAAATACCTTTTGATAGGTGACTGGAAATTAAAGGAACCCAATTGCCAAATCCTGGTGGTGACAAATTATTGCCCACCACCTTTTAGTTCAGGTGCCACTGTAGAGTCATTAGGTTATTATGAAGCTGGAGTACATGAAACATGAACAATGCCTTCACCAGGAGTTTAATCTGAACCTCTCAAGTATGTGCCAAGTGTGCTACTGTTACTCCATGAAGGCATGCTGGAAGGAGGGAAAGATACCTTATAATTTGTTTGATTTTTGCAGTAAAAATGATTTAAAAAAAACACCACTTATTTTAAACCCTTTAATTTTAACATTTTAAAATCTTTCAGAAGTATTGGAAAAACTGATCATAAAATTATATCTAGACAGATATCGTGAAGCATCAGTTAGAGCTAGACTGTCAACTATGCACAAGAAAGTGAACATTCTTGCAGAAGAACAGATTCATGGAGAAAGAAATTTCCAATAAGGTTAAAATATGCGGAGAAAAAATTAAATACGAAGAATCTTATCTCGTTTCCTACTCCATCTTACAGATTTCCTTTTGAGGAAGGAAAACTGCGATAAACTGATGTCCTAGAAAACTTTATTTTGGGACAATGAATGCTTTCATAAAAAACTGGGATGTCTCATGATCCTATTCCAAGGCATACATAGGAATAGCAAATTAAAACACTAGAGATTTTATCAACCAAGTTAAATAATAAAGCAAGTTCACAGAAAATATGTAATTAATTAACCCTCTCAGCATTACGGCCGGAAAATTCAGTACAGGAGGTTGCCTTCCACATTCATTATACATGAAAATTTCTGCTAGCTTTTAATGTATTCGATTTCAGTTTGGATGTATATTGGAAGAAAAGGAATCAAGGTACAAAATGAAAAAGTCATTTTTTAATTAAAATCAAGAAAATATCACTTATCCATGATTATTTGAGGAAATTTGAAATTTCAGGGTTAAACCCGTAATGCTCAGAGGGTTAAAAGTGGTGGTTAGAGATTATATAAGGGTAAAATTATATTTGTGTATGTCTGTAGAAAGTAAGAAATATTAGTATTAGTTTTGTTTAATAACCATAGTTTTCAAAAAAAAATTTACTCGTAATTTCTTTTAAAATTGCTAATGTTTCCTCTTGGATTAATAGCCTTTCAGAATTACTATAAAATATTTATATTTTTTATTTTCATTTGCTGTTTGTTTGATTTTTTACTGTCAAGCTATTGTGTGTTAATTTTTCCTTTCCTTGCAGACTTGTGGTCAAACTTCTGTTGCCTATCTTTGTGCAGTGACTCATGGTTTAGAAGAGGAAGCTGAAAATCTAAAAGCGAGTCTGGAGGGTTCTGATGTCAGTTTACCTCAACCTGATCCAAGTGCAGTGTTATTGCAGCCACCTTGTCCCATCAATAAATCTGAAGAGAACTGGCCTCTCTTGAGTATATCAAAGGGATTTTTTGATGGCACTGTCGGATCACGTAAAACAGCATTAACGGCAGAAGTTGCAGATGATAATTTGGCTGAAGGTGATAATTTAGTTGAAGGTTTATTAGAAATAGTTCTTATGAATTATTCCTGATTTTAAAAAATATTTTTGTTACTGGAAATAAAAAAACCAAATGCTGCTAAAAATCTTATCCTTTATGGAACAAGAATTTCTTACCTCTTGAAATAAAATTGTGTTTCTTGCAATATATTTCATGAAGAAAAAAATGTTCAATTCTAAAATATTAAATATTTTAAAAAAAATTATTTTTGATATATTTTCAAAATTCTTTTAAATAGTATAGCAGCTTGTTAAGAATATTTATATTCTTCCTGTGTCTCTCTTGAAAAAGCTTCAGCCTACTTACTCTCAAGCAGCTCAAAAAACGATTCATCTATTAAAAATTTTTAAAATGTTAAAACAATCAAAATTTAAAAAAGGGTACAGGTATTTATATTCTTGCTACCAGGTAAAAATAGCCTGTGCGTTACCAGCTCATGAAATTAAATGTTTACATTTGAATAATTTTTTTTAAAAATTAAATATTTACATTTGAATAATTTTTTTAAAAAATATCAATTTTAAAGGTTGTGCAGTTTGTTTTTGCATTTCTCTTTTGAGTGTAAAATGGTATAAATAGGAAAGCTTCAAAATAATTGGTATTTATATGACATATTAGGATCTGAATAAGTTAAAGAAATAGACATAGAAATTTGTAATTTGTATATTACTATGAAATCTCATTGTGACCCTCTAACTTTATTTTGTTTGATGGAAATTTTGTAGAGTTGGGATTTTGTAATTTATATATTGCTGGATACTAGAAATTTATTTTGTGTCATATTTAACATGTAAAATAATACTTCAAAATGTTATTTAAATGTATAGATGAAATGGCTTTTAAATGACTCATTTTCTTACATTAATGAATATTATGCTTTTATAATATCAAAAACATTAGAAAGATCTTATGTACTGTCATCTAGCAAAAACTTATTCCATGTACCTGAGTATTGTCTGTAAGGAATAGGTTTTTATCTTCTAGCTAATAATAAACCTACTGAAGGTACTTAGAGAAGGGAGGATTACAAATTTAGCAAATACAATTGTTAATTTTGATTTTTAGTGTTCTTCAGTCTCTTTTCCAGTAGTGGAATTTGATCTATAGTTGTTAAATTTTTATAATTAATTACTAGCATGATTAAAAACTGCAAATCCATTATGGAAAGTCAGTACACTTCTTTGTGTGCAATTAAACTAAACGTGAAATTTTTATTTATTTTTTAATGGGTAACCAGTTTAAGACGTTATTTATAATGCAAAAAGCGCATGGGATCGGTGATGTGATAAACAATATTGCATTCTACATAACATATATAAGGTTTCAAGTAATAGAATTTTAAGCAAGTTTGCACTGGGCTATAACATATTAAGAATCAGTGTAAAAAAAGGTAACTGAAATTAATTATTTATTATACATGTTAGAAATGATACATCTTTCTGACTTTTCATTGAGTTTTTTGCAGACCATACGTAAATTTAAAATATGTTTACTGAATTTTTAAATAAATTCTTTTTATAGTTTATTTATATGTAGAAATATATTAATGTGGAAATATATTAAGTGTTGGAATAAATCTGTTTTTCAAACATGAAAGATTTTGCTGAAATATAATGTGAAATCATAAATTAAACAAAAAAATTATTGGCTAAATATTTTAAGATCTAAATTTTTCTGCAAAAAAGATATAAAGAATTAACAGCTGAACAGTCCAAAACAAAACATGCTAAAAGCAATATAACCATTGCATTTTAATGCATGTTAGCAACTTCATCAGTTCTTAGTCTTATGGCTAGTTGAAATAGTATTGCTGGCTTTTACTGAGAAACTGACAAAAATATTTAGAAAAAAGTCTTGCTCTGGTATTAAACCGTAATATGATTTTTTAAAGCTTTAAATGACTAATTTTGTATCTAAATTTTTTTCTATCTAATGTTTCATTTGTTTATCAAATTATAACATGCCCATGATTTTCAATTATTTTACTGAATATGAATAAATTAATATAAAACTGGGATGGATTCGTTCCCATAATGGTTGTTTGCATTTTAATAACAAAGACAGACCCTCGCAAACTACCTGTGAAGGCCACGCTAACCCTTTCCCATCTAATTGTTGAACTTTGCCAGCATAATACAAGACCTGATCAATCACAGCAAAGAAACATGAATTGAGGAGTAGCAGAGATAGTACTAAGAATAAGTTTCTTTTGAATAAATAATAATACGATAGTTTCCTATAATTTATCCTTGACTGCTTCTCAGTTGTTATCTTCTTACTATAACTGCATCCTTCAGAAATGAAATTATTCACATAACTGTCTCCTCTTGATTTTCGGACAATAAAATTAGGAATTAGAGGGGAGAAATATGCTAGGAAATATATTAACCATTGTATTATTATTGTAGTTTAATCATCAATGTCTGTAGTCCCCTTGCCCCTATAAATATTTTACTATATTTTTCATTGCTTTTTTACAGGATGGGGTGATGATGCTGAGCTAGTCTTGGATGAAGAAGGTAATGTAGATTCTCTCATGGAAAGTGATAGTAAAGAAGGTGGTTGGGATATTGAAGATGAAGATTTGGAATTACCACCTGAACTTGAAGCAGCAACAGCTGTTACTGTTTCTGGTGAAGAAGGTTATTTTGTAGCTCCCACACGAGGTATTCCACAAACACAGACGTGGGTTAACAATTCAAAACTTCCTGTTGATCATATATTAGCTGGATCTTTCGAAACTGCATTCCGATTACTTCATGACCAAATAGGGGTTGTAAATTTTGAGCCATTTAAACAGTTATTCATGATTTCTTTTGCCAGAAGCCATACCTCATTCCAAGGACTGTCAGCAATTCCACCATTGAATGGTTTTATACTTCGTAATTGGAATGAAGCTGGAATGAAAAATGGTGTACCAGCCATTGGTTGTAAATTGAACACTTTAATTGAAAGACTGCAGTCTTGTTATCAGTTGACTACCTCAGGAAAATTTCAAGAAGCTATTGAACGTTTCAGAACTCTGCTTTTGAGCATTCCGTTGCTAGTTGTAGAAAGTAAACAGGAAATTTCAGAAGCTCAGCAACTTCTTGAGATTTGTCGTGAATATGTTCTTGGTTTGTCACTGGAGCTTGAAAGGAAAAGTTTACCAAAAGATACTTTAGACCAGCAGAAGAGAACATGTGAAATGGCTGCATACTTCACCCATTGCAAACTAGAGTCAGTGCACCAGATCTTAACTCTACGCACTGCTGTCAATTTATTTTTCAAGCTAAAAAATTTTAAAACTGCTGGGTCTTTTGCTCGTAGACTTTTGGAATTAGGTCCAAGAACAGAAGTTGCACAGCAAACACGGAAGATTCTTCAAGCTTGTGAAAAAAATCCAGTTGATCAGCACCAGCTTCAGTATGATGAACACAACCCATTTGCTATTTGTGGGCAGTCATATAAACCTATTTATCGAGGAAAACCAGAAATTAAATGTCCTTTGTGTCAAGCTAGTTACTTTCCAGAATATAAAGGTATTGTCTGCAGGGTATGCAGTGTTGCTGAAGTTGGCAAAGATACCATTGGACTGAGAATAAGCCCATTACAATTTCGATAATTTATGTTAGATTTGACTTTTTCTTATGTATCCTCTATAGGAAAAATTATTTTTTGAACTAAAAATATTATATTGAAAAAATTTACTATTTAAAGTTTCATCACCAATTCAGTTTTTAGGGGTAGAAATGTATTAAGTTCAACATTACTTAATATTTTTGCCATTCTGTAAGGTATAATTTGAGAATTGCTGATTTTTATTAATGCTTTTATGTATTTCAAGTATATGATTAAATAAATAAAGCAATATTAAATTTGATAGTTTTTCATGCATATAGTTTATTAACAGTGCAATTTTGAAGCATTCCTTCAAAAATCACTAATCATCAATTCTTTCCATTATTGCAGTATTCTTTCCTTTGGATGTGCATGATTTTGAATTTTTCACTGTAAATATGTTTTCATATACAGTGGCAGATTCATGATTTTGCTGCCTTTAGGCTGTCTAAACTATAGTTACTTTTTTTCAATTTACATTTGTTCACAGATATTATTTAGAGTAATAATTAATCAGATTGAAATTTCACATAATTTTGATGTAAATAAATACGTGACTTATAAAGTGAAAATATAAAATTGTAAGAAATTACACTCGCTCCACTTACAAAACAAAACAAATAATAATAATAATTTACTAAAATACAGAAAATCACAATTCAGTTTCTTAATTGTTTTTTTATGATCAGTGTTCATGTAATTAATTTTTAAAAACAGAAATACTTTATTTGTTTTACAATTTTTCTCATTCTTTTGCTTCAGGAAATTTTTTAATTTTTTTCATCAACAGAACAATTACATACAAGGTGTATCAGTACAGTAGTGACAAATTTTCAGGAGAAACAGAGTACACCTAGATGATGCGAAATCACGTAGCAATGCATGGTCAGAAAAGCTTTTTTGGCACGGTAGTGATGACACAAAATGCAAAAAAAGAAAGGAGACAAACAGTGAAACGAAACATGTTTTTATTATGTTAGTACAGCAGAAACCTACAAATAAGAACAAACAACGATCATCATTAAAGAAAGTGTTCAAAATTACGACCCCGGATAGTGATGCAGGCTTCACTTCTCTGGCACATGGAAGATCTGCATCACGAATAGAAAATGGCATGGAAGATGCATGAAGCACGGTTCCTACATCACAGTCCAGGTTGTAATTTCGAACACCTTCTTTGATGATGATTATTGTCTTTTTATGTTATTTTTATGTTGTACTCTGACTAATAAACATGTTTTCTCACCCTGTTCATGTATTTTCTTTCTTGACTTTTGTGTCATATCTGCCGCACCAGGAAAGCGTTTCTGACCATGAATCATTCAGATGTACAGTTTCAAAATGAGATATTTTTTAGAATATATAATGCCACATCACTATTTGGGTAAAGGATTTTTTTTTTTATGTGCAGATGCATAAATTACATAGTTTTATTTATAACATTTTATAACAATAAAATTTTTTACTAAAGTCCATGAAAGAATCTCTTAATTTTTCGGTATATAATTTTTTAAAACCATAGTTTTAAAATTTATTATGTATTGGCTCATGTATCAGTTTTTTTTTAATTTGCTAATCAGTCAGATTATAACAATTATTAAGAAAGTCTGAGTTTGATATTTATCTTTATTATTTAAACTTGTTTACCTGATTAATTTTGGAGAAAAATTTTTGACTGTTCTTACGAATTGTGTTTATGCCAGTCAAAAATCTTTACCTTTTCTCCTCATGTTTTTTAAGGAATCAGAGATTTACACAATTTTATTATTGGGAAGGTATACTTGTCAGTATTTCATATTTTTTTTCTTTTCATGTGAATTTTCTTCAAAAGATATTCCTGGAAAACTCATTAAAGCTGTTTGCAAACCTTCTAAACGAGCCTGCATTTTTTTTTCATGCTGTCATCTTTAGTGTCTTTTAAAACATCATACCTCTCTCTCTTTGTGATTATTATTAAATTCCAACAAGCATCATCTATTGAAGACCAATGAATTATCCAAGGTCTTTTTGCAGATGCACTTCAACTCACTTTTAAGTTTAAATTTTGTCATCAATAATTAGAGGAAGAAAGTTTATCATACAGTTTTTATAACAAAATAAAATAATATATTGCTTCACTAGAACTTGGTGATACTCAAAATTCAACTAATTTAAAGAGAGAACAGCGTTAGTTTCATATTCTGTGTAAGAGTCAATTTCCATAATATGTTTTTGAACACCCTACTAATCTCTGTTATTGGCATTGCCAGAGTGTTGACTTTGTTTAATATGCTTATTCTAAAAATAGAAAGAGTGTCCTTTGGGGCTTTGATGTAGTCATCAGATGTATGTCTAGCACTTGGTAAAAAGAAAAAATCGCTTCACTGGAATGATGTTCTGTTATCCATATCTGATTACTAAAAATTATTAGTTCACATGGGACAAATTAGGTAAAGAATCAGCAATAGTTGGGGAATATTTAGCAAATTTAACTTTAGTAACAATGGTTTCTCACATTTTTTTTAAACCATTAACAAAACATCTTCCATATTCAAATAATTTGTATGTCTGGAACCAAGGTTATTATGTATTTATTTCTAATATAATTAGCTAAAAACAAACAAAAAAGATCAGCTACAGCAGTTAATTCTTTTGTCATTAATTTCCGTTGTTGAAAAAATCGGGCATTTCGTCATAGCTTTCTAATGAAAGATTACAGCTTGTTGACTTTTGTGTTACTGGAACAACTGTTCCTAAATTTTTCTATTAATTGGTTTCTTCAACAAGACCCATCAGTGGCTGTGTGTTTAAAACCTCCATACCCAAGTGGCACAATCTTGCTATAGCAGTGTAACAAGTGTGTCTTGTTATCTTTAAGGTGCCCAGGTGTCTGCAATATCCCACTGTTTTATGACCATTACAAAGACTTCAATTTCATGTCTTTACGTATAACATTTTTGACTTTAAGACATTGGTTTTGCATCTTTATGAAGAACACTTTTGATGCAAAATAATCATTTTTTGTGTCTTTCCAAACAATTTTTTTTTCCTAAAAAGATAGGATGCTATGTTGTAACAACATCATACTGTGACATTTTAAAGATTTTTTAATGTAATTTACCATTTTGGTTAATTATCTTTGCAACAATGTCAAAAACATAAACTGCAGAACTAATATCTTATTAGTTCTATAAGTTGGGATTGTTGCATAGGCTTATTATTATTAAAAAATCTTTTGCAAATATAATCTGTTTTACTGCACCATTGTACTTGCTAAAATTTTATTTAATTTTTTATTCACTTTTTTCCTAAATTCTGATATGTCTACTTGCAATTAGGAATGAATTGCATATTTAACATAAGACGTGCAGTTTATTCTGAGTAACAAGTAAGTAGAATCCGAATGAAGTTCAAATTTAATATAAAACTGCATATTTCAACAGATTCCTAATTAGATAAGAATGATTTATAAAATAATGAATTTGTACAAAAGCTGCAGACATCTTTCAGCATACGATATTATTGAATTAATCATATAAGCATTGTTATGAATAGCTTTTTATTGCTTGATTTTAATTATTTCTGTACATAAGAAGCTAGTTAAGTTTGGGAAATAGATTTCTGGGCAGTCCTCTTTCTTTCAAAAGTCTGTTATGAAATACAAATTATGTAAGTTAATACATATGTTACATTTGAAGTTTTGTCTACAGATTTGTATAAATATATTCAAAATAATGCTAAATCATTGTATTGTGAAATTTCATTATTTTTGCTGAACACGTATTGTTTTGTACATGTTGAGTTTTAAATATTCATTTTATCAAACTCTACCTTTTAACTGTTATTCAAATTTCCTGTCCTTTTCTCTAACGTTTACTTGCAATATGAATTCTGAGTGCGTTCACTATTTTAATTATCTACTGCTATGGAAACTTTATACAAATTCTTAATTTTTATCCTTTTCAAGATGTACAGGAATTTTATTAATTAATGGCACTTAAAAAGGCAAAATAAACAAAAAGTATTCCTTTAATAATCTAAAATATTCTGACTCAACAGTTTTTATTACTTACATTCACATATTATTACATATATTCACATATTAAAATAATGGTGTTGACCAATGAGAGAACAGGATTTTCTATTTCTGTTCCCCCCCTTTGTAGATATATTCTTAAATTTTTTATAATAGAAGTGCTGTGGAAAAGGTGTAGCAAAAAATTCCTTTTTTACTGAAAATTAATGTAAAAGAATAAACTTTAACTGAATTGAATAACTTGTATTCAATTTTAATGTAAAGGAATAATCTTTAATGTCACTGTTATGCAACATTAAAGGTTATTACAAACTTCAGATTAGTCCAACGCTTCAAATTTTCTGTAAACCAGTTATTGAATTCAAAATGAACAAAAAAATTTCTAAATCAGAAACTTTCTATTCATTATTTACAAATTAAAAATTATCTTTAATTATGAAAAATCTTATCAGTTAATATAAAAAATTATATTTGCAGCTTGTAAAATAAATGAAAAAAAATAAGCAGTAGGCATTTAATTAATACAGTTCCTTCTTATGAACTTGCATAATCTTCAGTGGCATGCTTTAAATGCTTTTCTGATAAATCTTTTAGATTTCATTTATAAGCAGTCAGACTAGAATTCATATTTATTACATGTAGCTAATAAAACTCTCTTTAAGATACGCTGGTTTCAGTAAATTCAAATTTAGAATGCCCAGTTAATAATATGAATTGGGCTTAATTCTGTTATCAGTTGGTAACTTTAAATTACTCTCAAAGAATTATACATAAAATAAAAATTATAATATCAAGTAAGATTTTTAAGTGCACTAGCTAATAAATAACAAGAGAAAATGAGAAATATGAGCTTTATTAATTTTTCTTCAAATGTTTAAAATAGTTGCTATTTATTTTTGAGGGTGTAGTTTTAATATTTTACCATAGCTGCAACATTACACTTTAAGGCTTTTCTTATTGTATTTTGAAAGGCTAATATAATATGACACCTTCTAAGGTTACTGACGGCAGAATTCATACTGTGTTTGTAACTTCACAATGCACACATGAAAGAAAATATTTTAAGCACAAATTTTTAAATCACTTTTAAAGAAATATTTAGAATGAAACCCTGATATAATTTTTTTGCATTTCACTACAGTGTGCTCCCTTTTATGTAAGAGAATACTTACGAAACTCAAAACTCATTTTATAAAAAATAATTCCATTTCTAAAATTAAATTTCTAAATTAAATTTAATCAGATGGAAAATTTATCTTTTAATTATTTCAGTGAACGTTTCTTTATGCTGTTAATCCTTTGAGTAAAATTTTCATAAAATGTAAAAAAAAAAATATACCATAAACACACCATAATATTCACAACATTGCAAGGGTTGTCTTATCGATGTTAAATATGTATTGTTATAAACATTTTCTATGGGAGATACAAGGTTTTTATTCAATTAATTCTAGTTTTCCTCTCATTCCTATTTTTCAAAGTTGGATAAATTTGATTTTTTATTGTCATTAATCTTTAAAATGCAACCATGATTTATTCTTGAAATTCTATTTGGAGTACAAAATAACAATGGTAAGATTTTGATGCTGCAACAGTTTGCTTGGTCGTTTTTTTGCTGTATATAATTTTTTTGAAACAATCTGAAGTAATTTTGAAAAAATTTAAATGCTTTTAATACAGTTTTATTTCTGTAAGTCTCTTTAATCTTTTGTTTAATCAGTTCGTTTTTCATATACCTGTTGTATTCTAGTGGAAATATGTTGATAACTTTGTATTCCAAAAATAAATAGTGGTAAAGATTATTTCTCAAGATAGATTCTGAAATGAAAAGCTTAGAATTACTGATACAATCTTTATATTTGCAATTCAGTTCTAATAGGTCATTTATTTTTTTTTCCAGCATTTTACTTTGTTTATCCTTCGCTACTTTTAGAATACTGTCTAATAAACTTAAATGCAAAATATTCTTGAATCTGAGGTGAATTGTAAATGCACTTTTTTTAAAAACCTCACTCAGACTGAGTCTGTTATTTTTGTTAAGAGTCCATCTAGTATCCTTATAAAACAAATTGAATATAACAATTCCATCATTATTTTCAGACAATTTCTGAAGTATTAGAATTTGGTTTAAAGTGAACTGTAAGAAATGATTTCCTATATATATATTATTATGACTTAATTTTTCACAAGAAATGCAATTAACAATAGGTAAAATTTTCCCTATTTTTATTTGATCTCGTATTAAAGGAAGTATATGCTCCCTTTTTTGTTTCATAGTTAGGCATAAAAACCTTAGGCTGAACAATTTTTCTAAAAGTTGCTCTGTATTATGTTTGAATAGATCATTATTTAAAGTCAGTTTGCTTTTCTCAATTAAGAACATTGGGTCATGAAAAAATTTAATATTTTCCTTTTGCTTCTGAAGAAAGCGATCATATTCGGTATCCAGCAGCCGTATTAAATTTATACTCTTTTTGGTTTTCAATTCTTGACAAATCTGTAAATAGAGATATCGAAGAGAGCATGAAAAATAATATCTTAATCTAAGCCATTCAGAACTTCCAGAAGATTCCCAAGCTAGCGGTTCCAGAATGGAAATTAGTAATTTTAATCTTACACTTTGCCCTTTGCGACAATAATGCATCTGAATCAAATTATCAACAAGAAAGTTTAAAAACGCATCGTACAAGAGGGCAATTCTTTTTTTATCCTGATTAGAAACTAAAAATTTTATGATTAGACTAAGAATCCAAAGCACGTACAGAATTAGTATTTCTGAAGTAGAATGTGAAAGGAAGTTTTTTATAATCGAAACCATCTGAAAACGAATCTGTTCGATTTTTGAAATATCCTCTTCAGTGTCTCGTCTGGCTTTCGGAATTTGAATATATCCAAATGTGGACGGTATAAAAATGCTTACAATACTTTCAAGCAATTCTGCGTTAGATAATGTATCCAACAGCTTCCCCATTAGAAATAAGCTCATTTTGCATGATGTTTCATTGTTTTTACTATTCCACTTGTCGGTCGAAATAGCTGGTAGAAATTTTTCGACAATCACATCATTTACCAATGCTTCCTGTAGTTGAATATTGCAGCTTGCAAACCCTAGGTTCATCAAGTCATCAATAAATTCTAATTCTTCTTCATATTTATGACATGCAATTCGTATAAAGGCCTTACACTGTTGTGGAAAAATCTGCATTTTTGCGATTGTTTGATTGAGCTCAATAAAGACCTGATCCAAAAGCTGAGGAAACGCAACTTCTGTTACGTAATCCCTTACTTTACCATCGCATATTTTAAATATTGTCAGTAAAGCAATTTTTGCTGAATTTTTTATCATTATTTCTTCATGATGGCTTAAAAGTAGAAGACATTTTAACAAGGGAAATTCTCGTGTTTTAGATACATAAAGAGAATCTAAAATTGTAGATCCATGCTTCCGAATCAATATTTTTACTTGAGAGACAAAGTATGCTATTAATTCTATTTCATTTTCTGTATCAGCAAATTGTTTAATTTTATTTAATTCTATGTCATGTTTTGTATCAACAAATCGTTTAATTTTATTATCCCTAAGAATCATTTTTCGTCTGTTGTCTAATGCAGTGACATCTGTGGTCAAGAGTTTGTCTTGTCATCTTTGTTATTCAAATTTTGGATGATTCTTATTAATCAGTAAAGTTCTCACATTTCTCATAGCACTCCGTATTAAGGTAAAAAAACTATGAGTGTATGTGGAAATTTTTATTCATTTTAAAATTCTTTCAATTATATAGAAATTTAAAAATTAAATAAAATTTACAGTGAAGTTTCCTTGCTCATTTGTGAGATAAGATTCATAACAATTTCAAATAGATTTTTAAACATACATGATTTCTGAAAATATTTTCTTACCAACTTTTGATATAGTTAACATCCTCAGTTTTCTTTGCAGTAGTTGCTGCCACCTATAGAAAACTTTTTTCTTTCATTTTCTTCTTTTATATGTAAAAGAGAAATGTAAATAGTAATAAAATAAATTTAAAAGCGAAATGTAAATAGTAATTAAAATAAATTATTTGATTTCTTTTAATTATAAAATAAACTGTTTAGCAATATGACACTTTTTTATAAGAATATGAAATGCGGTTTTTAAAATGGATTTTATATAATTTTAATATTTTGGCGTAATTTGATTTCTAGTGGTGAACAACAATTCAACTCATTCACAGTTTCTTGCGTCATATTTTGAAATTATTCAAAGTTTTTCTTATATGTTTGTAATCATTGCTTTGAAGCGTGAAAATCTGAAGTTACGTGAGTTAAAGATGAATGTAGATAAAGCAAGTAAGATTCTTCAATAAATTTTGTACTTTTTCACTAATTCATTATGAAGAATGTTTATTAGTGTTATAAAAGCTTGTAGAAGAATGTTTATTAGTGTTGTAAAAGCTTGTAGCTAAATATATTTTGGACACATAACAAGGAACGTTTTTTTTTTTTTTTTTTTTTTTTTTTTTTTTTTGGTGTGTGTGCGTGTTATATACTCTGCAAGAATGCCTTACAATCCCGGGTTTTATCCTAGTATACGTTACACACGAAAGTTGGCAATATGATGATGAACAGTAAACGCGTCATTTTGGTGTTAGCCACAAATTTTCAAAATCGCGCCAAGGCTGTACCTTACATTAGGACTTTATCCAATCCCGTGATATGTGATTAAAGCTTTGATTTTGGGGGAAATTCATTATTTTACGAAACGTCTGTGTTCACATTCAAATATATTACCACATTCATTTTCAGTCTACTTTACTGATGAGATTACAGGGAGGATTTCTTGTCTTTCTTCTCAGTCGTAATTTTTCGTGGACATTCTTATTTTAAAATTTCAAAAATTAGATTTTTCAGTTTAATATTTTCTTGCGTAAAGTTTAAAACGCCTACCTATGTAATATAGAAACAACATCCACACGGAACTGCATGTATTTATGCTTATAAATAAAAATATAATTTAAAATTAAAATCTAATTTAATAACTTCTTAATTTTTCAGATTTTGATAGTTATCTTGATTGCAAGTTAAAATAAATAGTGATCTGTAACTTGGAAAAAACCAATATTTACAAAAAATGACATCAGTTTGCCTCTAAATACACTTATATAAGATAACTAACATGCAAACATTAACACGAATAAAGCGTAAAAAACTTGATCATAGTTAACTTCGAAAGAGCCATTGCAAAGTTTTTCCAAGACTGAATTGTATGTAAGTATTTTCGGTACTTTTCCATTTTGCCGGCGAAAATCTCGCCAGGCAGACTTTATTGGTGACAACACACAGTATACACATAAAAAATGTTAATTCTAAGACTTTTTACTTTAGAGGCATAAATTTTTAATATTGTTTAAAATTTTTTCAAATGGGTCTTTCGTTTCCCTTCTCCACATAATTCCTCGAGATAACTTTTCAGATGATGACGCGCTGTTTCTCTGTGTTTCTTATTTCGTCGTTTATAGCTAGCCCATAGTCTTTCTGTTTTTTGTGTTAGTTTTCGGATTGACAAAATAGTATTTATAGTTCACTTTGAAACGATTGAAATTTTCCTCTTCCAGTCTTTCAGTGCAGTATGATTTCTTCGTGAATCCGAATATATTACAGTTCCTTTTTTCATATTTTCCTTAATTGATTCTAATATAGTACTCATGGATCGGTTTGGCAGCTTCACAAGGAAACATTAGTTTGTTTCACGACAAGCTCCACCAAAGATACACTGTTGTGGTAGAATCCGCCCCGCATTGTTTGGCGCTTCGTGAACTTCATCCACTTCGGCGATCGTACCAGGCCCTCCTATTTTTCGTTGTTGAAGTTTAAGCGAAGAATTTATACAAACCTTGCACATGTAGTTATTCCAGTCATCAACTCTTCTGGGACTGATTTCCAACTGACTGATTTTCACAAAATTTAACTGAAGTTAATTCGCCGCTCCAACCATAAATAAGCCTCACACACTTCAAGAAACTGAATTTCGATGACTCAAAGTATGCGCCTTTCTTTTACTGCAACAAATTGAAATGTTGCAGCTCCACTAAATTTTGTTTTCATGATTAGTATCACAAGCAGCAATTTTAAGCAAAACGCCGTTCGCTTGAAAGAATTAGACATATTCTTCCTCTATTCTGGGCAAATCCTCAGATCTCTAGTGATTACTCCTATGGGGATTTTGTTAAACACAAAGTGTTCCTTCATTTCCCCAGCAACTGAAGCATCGGATAACAAGTGCTCGAATCAAAGGATATTCTATCACGAGTATGGCAGGAACTGGAACACCACATAGATATTTGCCGTGTCACCGGAGGGGCACACATAGAACATCTTTTAAAACTTGGATAACTATAGTTTTACTGTAAATTTGATTTATCAAAATAAAATAATTACAGCATTCACAGATATGCTTTCTTACTTTTGTTTCGGAGATCTCTTTCTGTTAGAGCTAGTACTGCAATACAGGCAAATTTTAATTGACAAGGCCAATCAGTAGGAAATTCTTTTTGTGAATTTTTATAAGCCACACTGTTTTTAATAAAATGTACTGAGCTCATTTTTTTATTTTATGAAATATGAAATTATTTTTGAACAGCAAGAAATGAAAGAAGCTTGATTTAAAAATAAAAATTGGAGATGATTGAAAATTTATGCAATTTTCTCCATCGTTATAGAATAAGTTGTGTTTTCTATATGCAGTCTTCTATTGCAGCATTAATAAAGCGTTTATTTTTCTAACGAAAGCTGTTGAATTTTAGGAAAATAATGAAAAGTTATAAATCTTTATCAGTACTAGAAACAGATCTGTTTATCAATCTGATGTGTCTTTTAAATTAGAAGTGTTCCAAAACAGCTTCTACTATATAGCAAGCCATCTTGATGGGTTACTTTGGCTTTCGCTTAAAATAAATGAGTAATTTAGAAATACAAAACTCTTTTTGAAAAAGAGATGTCAGGGAGTATATTGGGTCACCGTGGTATGAAATCAAATCTTTCTTTCATAACTATTGTTATGAAAGAAAATCTGTACAATAATGTTTTTTGTTAAAACTTATATATTATTTGTTAAACTCGAATATCTGTACAATAATGTTTTTTGTTAAAACTTATATATTTGAAATGCTACATATGTTTGTTAATGAATCACGGCGTTCATTTAAATTGCTTAATTAAGAGGTAATTTAACCCTTTGAGTACGCATTTAATAAGAGAAAAATTACCCCGTTTTGTATCCAAGTAAACAAAATATGTCATAAATAAGATAAATTTATCATTTGGGGAAATTTTTTGATAAGCGGTTTTCAAGCCAAAGTTTGGGACACATATGTCCCAGCCGTAGTTAATGGTGGGACACGCATATTTTACACGTAGCGATCGACTTACTATAAACACATCTATTATTCTGGAAAACTTTATTATGTGAGATAAATTTTACATCGTATGGTACACGGTAAAGCACTCTTTGCATAACTTAACATTACACATTGGGCAACTCAGATTTGTACTTTCTCTACGTTCATTTTTGTACAACGATCAAAGCGGCTTCTTGATTTCCTAAGTATTGGAAGACGATCCCCAGTATTCAGGAGATTCTAAGTACTTTTTAACCCAGGAGTAATTTTTAAGCTTTTAGTGGGACATATGTCCCGTTAGTAGTCAATGGGTTAAATATAAAAAGGCTTTTTTTTCGTCAACTTATGTATATATCCATTGTTTGTTAAATATGTGCACTTTTTAGGTGTGTCCAGTGATGCATCATGTACTGACTCATCCTTCGAATTTGAAAGTTCAGGGAAAAAGAGAACGTACCACAATATCTTGGAAAGAAAGCGGAGGCATCATATCAAAGAAGGTTACTTAAAATTGAGAAATGTCATTCCAGAAATAGCAGGTAAAAAAGTCTCACGAATACAGATTTTGAAAAGTGCAATTGAACACATTCGACTTCTTCGAGAACAAATCAAAATGAAGGAGAACCTTGCTCGACAACTCAAAATTCGGATTCGCTTCGCAAAGTCAGGAAAAAGCATTCGAGATAATATTTTTTGAAATTTCTTCAGATTTTTTAAAAGTTGCGACTCTGCTGATCATTTGTTTACACTTTTTGACTTAACACAAAATTGACAAATGTGAGGAAAAAATATTTGTTTGCTCACTGTAAAAGTTGCCATATTTTTCATTTTGTTTCTCTAAATTTGCTTACAAGTGCAAAAACTAACAGTATCACTTACGTGTTTCGTTTATACGATAAAGCTTATGTACTAGAATGCTCTTTGAGAGAACCATCGTGTTGCTTTTACAGAAATAATAAATAAGTTTCCGCTGTGGTGACTACTAATAATTTTAAATAATTACATTTAAATACCATAAGTATTTCATATGATATCTGAAAAATATTCATCTGTTGGTATATAATATATCTTTATTTCAGAACAGGGTACTTTTCCATTTTGCGGGCGCAAGAGATAAAGTCGCCAAAAATGGTACAATCGATTCCAAACGGAATTTCATCACTGGTAAACCTTTTACGCCTCCTTTTCAAAACAAGTCGCAGCCATTTCTTATCAGATTTATTGATTATTTCAATACTGGCATACAATTACTTAGAATTTTTACCAGATAGTTCAATTTTATGCCCGAAGGTCATTCGCGGTAATTAGGAGGCTATCATACTGCACAGCCGAAGGCGAAAATATAAAAGAGGCAAAGTCAAGAATTAAATTCATCAATTCTAATGAGAATGCACTATTGAAGTAAAGCACTGCGGTTTCACATAATTTCTGAGTAAGTGCAAATTGAAATAATTCTTGATTTAAACTTGTATTCCAAATTAAGAAACTTTATTATATTAAATTATTTAACTTGAAGGTACTTTTCCGTTTTGCCGGCGCAAGCGATAAAGTCGCCAGTAATGGTACAACCGATGCCAAACGGAATATTCTCGCTGGTAACCTTTTACGCCTCATTTTCAAAACAAGTCGCAGCTTTTTCTTATCAGATTGATTTTTTCTTTCAATACTGGCATATAATTACATAGAGTTTTTATCAGATAGTTCAGTTTTATGTCTAAGGCCATTTTCGGTAATTAAGTAAATTAGGATGCAATCATAGCGCTTACCCGAAGCCGAAAATATGGCAAAGGTAAAGTCAAGGGTTAAATTCATCAATTCTAATGAGAATGCATTAGCGAAGTAAAGCACTGCAGTTTTATATAATTTCTGAGTAAGCTATTCGTACGAATTGAAATATTTCTTGCATTTAAACTTGTGTTCCAAATTAAGATTTAACTTGAAGTTAATGTAGATAATACTGAGAGCATTAGATTTTTGTAGAGTAGTTTACGCGAGATGAGATCGCTTGGGGGTCACGTGATATGAACACGGCGAATCAGGATGTTGAACCATGAAAGCAAATTAAATTCTTAAATTAATGTCTTTTTACAAATTTATTGTCTTTATTTATTGGCTTTTTATAAAATTTAAACGATATTAAAATGTTTATGCCATGAAGAAAAGAATTCTTAGAACTAACATTTTTTAAATATTTTTTATGTGTATACTGTATGTTGTCGCTAATAAAATCTGCTTGGCGAGATTTGCGCCGGCGAAACGGAAAAGTACTAACTTGAAATTAATGCAGATAATTACTAAGAGAATTACATTTTTTTAGTGTAGTTTACGTGAGATGAGATCATTCAGGGTCACGTGATATGAAACGGCGAATCAGGATGTTGTACCATGAAAGCATAGTAAATTCTTAAATTAATGTCTTTTTACAAATTTATTGTCTTTATTTACCGTCTTTTTACAAATTTTAAACGATATTAAATTTTTATGCCTACAAATAAAATTTCTTAGAACTAACATTTGTTAACCTTTTATTTATGTGTATACTGTGTGTTGTCGCCAATAAAGTCTGCTTGGCGAGATTTGCGCCGGCGAAAAGGAAAAGTACCCAGAACGGACAAAAAGTCATGCCATTAACAGTCATTGTATCAGTACACCTGATACAAAAAATAGGGGGGGGACAGTTCTATATCTCTCGTTCTACTGAGCTGATTGCTTTTTTCATGTCTCGAAAGCGTGACTTCTTAAATTATGTCTAAATATCAAATTTTTTAAAATTCGGTCAGAAATTACCGAGAAATTTTCGCACTTTTTCAGTTTGCTCCAAGACTAATTCTTCACTTAGCGAAATTCTTAATTTATTAGTAACCTACTTTCCTTTTCCTTTTTTTCATTGCGCACGAGAGGAAAGAAAGGTGCATTGCATCGTTCATTCTTTCAAATAACTTTCAAACACTTTTAACAAAGTGCGTAAACCACATTTGGCTTTATTATCGTTTATAATAACTATGTCGAATTTCAAAATGCGCTAATGTATAATTTCAAGTATATCTTGGGAAATTTTGAATAAAATACGCTGATGTTTTGCAGGTATGCCTAGAAATACATCTACTTTAAGATGATGATGATGATAGTGAATATTTTATAGGAAAAAATTCAAACAATTTTTCAAAAAAATTATAAAAATTACTAAAAAATACAAATTTGAAAAATAAATAAAAAATATCTGCGAATTTTATTTGTATTGAACCTAAATTTCGAATTGTGAAAGAAAAAATCATGTAAGTTTAATGAAAAAAGAGATATTTTTAAATACATAACAAATTCAATGAACACCGAGGAGCTAAAATTTTGAGAGCTAATTTTTTGGAAACTACTCGTGCGATTTTTACAAAATTTCACGCTTTGGCATAATTTGAATTGCAGAATTTAGACATGGAAAAAAATAGGTGTGTCATTTCAGAAAATGTCAGTTTTTTTTTTTTTTTTTTTTTTGGTCAGAACGCCTATATTAGAACAATGTTATATATAAATCTAATATACTTCTTATATCGCATTTTCGAGACTTGAAAAACGCAAGTTAAATTTCGTCATTCGGCCTAGTAGAACGGGAGATATACACTTGCCCATTTTTAGTCCAAAGGGGTAATTTGCCTTGAAGGACTGCTATTTTCGTTTTGGCAATTTGCGTTGGTTCACTATAAATGCCCGAGTCCCTTTTCAAATTGTTGCCACCAAATATTATCGTCCTGTATTATATTTAAAGAAATTAAATAATGAAGAATCTGCATAAATATATATATATGTAAGATAAAAATGTAGAATCAGAATTATAACTAAAACATGAATTCTTCCTCTTATTCTAAATCGTAATAACTTATCTGCATTGCGTCATTAAAATTAATCATGCTATCTTACGTAACCGTTAATACCAGATGCCTCTTGACGACCAATCACCGAATTGTAAACCAAAACTTTTCTCTTCGCTTGCTTCCATCTTTCATAACTACGCACTTCACCTCTTGCTCTCTACTGTGCTAAGATGTAATTTCGTACGTAGAGACATGGGTATCACAATTTTGTACAATCCCTGTTTTTTAATAGTTAAGACATCATTCATTTTCCTATACTTAGTATTACAAACATTATCTAAATTTTGATATTCCTTTTATTTCTCCTAATGATAATCAATTAACTTGCAATCTTAATGTTGACACATGGGATTTCTAGAAAGCATGTCAGCTTCAACATTATAGATCCTTTTTTATATTTTATATCAAAATCAATCCATAGATAATTTTAAAGACCACCTAAATAGACGACCAGTAGGGTGTTTTTATATTTTTAAGCCAAACTAAAGCCATGATCAGTATGTACAGTAAAAATGGTTACCATGTAATAATAATAAATTTATCAATTGCATCATAATAGATAAACATTCCAGCTCAGTAATGGCATAATTTTGTTCATAAGATCTTAATTTTCTAGAATGAAAGCATTGGATGTAACTATCAGGTTCTTGTTTTAAACAGCACAACAGCTTCTTTGGACGCATCACAACAAATACATGACAGGATATTTGGATTAAACAAAGTAAAATAGGTCTAGAAATTCAATGGCATCTTTTAATTTTTGAAAAGCTTTTTGACCTTCATCAGTCCAATTATAAGGAGTATCTTTCTTAAGTAAATTTTGTTAATGGGGCTCTAATTTTAGCATAATTTTGAATAAATTTATGATAAACATTAATACTTCCTAAAAATCTTTGTAATTCTTTGATATTTTAGGGGGTTGCAATTTAATAACCTCTATATTTTCATTCTGGGCTGGTATTTACCTGCTTGAAATTTCATATCCTAGAAATTTATTTTTTCTTTAGCAAAATTACATTTAGATTGTTTTAATTTTATATTCTCTTTCTCACATATATCAATATTATTTTAATGATTTAAATGTTCATCAAAATTTGGAGAGAATACTATAATATCATCAAAATTTTAAAGCAAATTGAATCTGATATTTGTTTAAAATTTGTCTAAGAGCTCGTTGGAAAACAGCTGGGAATTTTTCCAACCCAAAGGTAATCTAGTAAACTCATACAGTCCAAAATTTGTATGAATGCCAATTTTTCAGTATCCTTTTCATTTAATTTTATATGCCAATAGCCTGATGCCAAATCCATGTAGAAAATTTTTGCATTTGTTAATTGATCTAATACAGCATCATTCTAGGAATGGTCAGAATCAGTTTTTAGTAATTTGGTTAAGCTCCTGAAATCAATACACAATCTGCTTCTGGACTGCTCGTCTCGCTTAAGCTAAAGTTACAGGAGCAGCATAAGGACTATAAGAAGGTTTAATAATTCCAGCTTTTAAACAATCATCTATGTTTTTTAATTTCACTATTATCTTTAGGATGCTCTATATGGTCTATAGCTTTGGTAATTCAGAAGTTATATAACTCGGGGAGTTCAACCCTTATACAACCAACATCATATTTACTTTTGGCAAATATATGGTTATAATTAAATTATTTTGCGATGTTGCTGTTGAACTGAGTTTTACGGTTTAAGTAAAAGGAACATGATATTTAATAAATAAAGGTAACACACAAAACGTTAAAAAAAGTCCCTTTGGACGTAATTTAAAATCTGAAACCTTTCAGACATTTTTCTTTTTTTTTTTTTTTTTTGTGCAAAATGTACATAACCTCTACATATGCATAAAAATATAAAGTACTACCACCAGGAAAAGCGTGCAGAAACGCAAGCCGTCGTAACTCATAAACAGACTCAAATAATTACTTTAAGAAAGCACGTTAAGAAAATCGGAAAAAAATATTTAAATTAAAATATATTCAAAGTAACTACAGTTTCGTAAAAACATCGTGTTTAGCAGACACCGTGATCAACATATATTCATTTAACATTTACGTTTATATGTAATTGTTTTTCTGTTGTTCTTTGCTCA